GAGGTGGCTAGATGGAGTCACTGAAGCAGTTGGTGTGAGCTTGGGTGGACTCTGGGAGATGGTGGAGGACAGGAAGGCCTGGAGGAATGTTGTCCATGGGGTTGACAGGACTTCGGGACTAACAACAACAAAGTGGAATCCACTTAAACATGAATACAGGGTACTACATAAATGTGGGGATACATAAATGACTACAATAAACTGGGAACATTATGTCAGCTACACAGCTCAATCCTAGACACATCTATTTAGAAGCAATTCCCATTGAGTTCAAGAGAATTTACTCCAAGGAAATGTGTATAGGGCTGCAACCCTAAATGCATTTGGAATTAAACCCATTGAGCACAATGCAATTGAGCTAGGCTGTGATCCAGTGCATACTCATCTGGTTGCAAGGCTCACTAAACTAGATTGGACTTACTTCTGAGTAGACATACATACGTTTGCACCATGAACCCTCTGCAAACATGCATGGGATGGTGTTCATTGGTATACAAATATAGCTTACAAACTAAATGCAACAGGTGAAATGTAACTATGGATATATGATGAAAATATACTGAGAAAATGAACATTTAGTCATTCTGGCCAAATAAAGGTTACCCAAGCAGGAAATCTTTCAATGTCTAGGAAATGTTCCATGGCTGACTCCACATATGTACGTTCACCACTTAAAGACTGTACCACCAAGTGATGAATGTCATAATAGAAGCAGATAGTCAGACAGATCTCTCCAACCCCATTAACTCAAAACACTTGGTCCATGCAGTTCAGATGTGCAACTACAAATCAGAACTGGTAAGATATCAAACTATGAACTTTGACATGTGAATCAGCTTTAAGGCTATCTTTGGCTGTCCCAGAACTGTTACTGGCACCATGTTGTTCTTATAACCAGTATTTAAATGTCATGGGGTTCTATTCAATGTTAGTCCCATTCATATCAATGACTCTGTTACTCTTAAGGTCCAATCGTATACAAGTTTAGGCAGAAAAAATTCTCATGACTCCCAGTTTCCCCCACTGGGAAGTGTAGAGCATAGGATTGTGCCATTCATAGGATACTAAATTGGATACTATCCCTCATACCCATGTTACAGGCACACAATCATGCCCTACCTTTATTAAAAACAAACAAAAAATAAAAGATTCACCTAACTCTGAAATTACTAAAAGTTGGGTGAATTTTGAATTGCCATTCTACACATACAGACTTGTACTTAAATATAAAAATGTAAAATCCATCTACAATTATAAGAAATTAATCAGTTACAGGATATACCTATTTGCATAATAAGGAATGGAAGGTATTATGTGTGCAAGGAAGTAATGGTTTACAGATGTTTATTTGCCATCAGTTCTGAGGATACAGCACAACCTAAGTATCTCTACTCTAAGGTAAGGTCTGCTTAAAGATAAGCCTCTTAGTAGTGGGATTAACTGCTAGGTAGTATGTATGGGACAGAAGTCTTAACAGTGCAATTCTGGGCATGATTAATCAGAAGTAAACCCAGCTGAGTTCATTGGAGCTTACTTCCCAGTAAATTTGTATGAGATTGCAGAATTTGATCCCTTGTAACAAAAATAAATTGAAGGGGGAATCTAAACATTGTAGGTAATTGGAAGACTAATTAAATGGATTTCCCTTTGCCCCTGCACCCTCACTCCTGTTTTTCTGGTTGAAAGAGGGGATTATGAAACTTAGTATTAAAAAAAACCTTCCTTATCTATTTTGCTTACTTGTTGAATTTATCCAGTTTATTCAAGTTGTTTTAATAACACAACTGAACATGCAGAAGAAAAGCTTTACCTTACTGACCTATTTTTATTTCATTCTGATTTTTGTGGGGGTGGGGAGGCTGGATTAGCATGGATATTGCATTTTCAAGGACCTCAACAGTATTAAATAGATTGTTAAGTACATTTTATGGCTGGAAAGTCTGTTCCTACTTCTTCCTGGAAAGATGTGCTAAGTTCATGTCTACCTGCTACATTACACACTCACTAAAATACTTCCTGAAGATGTAATACCAACACTCTGCATTTTAAAGTACATATTGCTATCTGTTTTAGTGCTAGTAAAACCCATTTCCATTCCCAGGAACTTAAGTTTTGTCCCTCTAAGAAAAAAAGATGTTTATGGTTTGGATTTAGACAATGGCATGCTCAGTTAAGATGAATTGCCACTGAAAGCTAATACATGTGCGGAAAAGCAAAGCCTGTGCATTTTGCAATAAGCCTTGCAAAGAGAGAATGAAAGAGAATCAAGGGGATTCTGCCTTTTATATTTCACACTTGATTCACACTCTGCTCTGGTCAATAGAATTAATTACTCTTTCATGATCCAAAACTCATGGAATACTTCTCCCCTCCCTTTCACTTCTATGGCATTTCCCACATCTATTATAAGCCATCCTGAACACCTTCTGGAAAACTGAAAAATAGATGCAATAAATAAAATTCTTTGAGTATGCACAGAGTAGCAACACTCTGGGACTGTGTGCATGCATGTGTTCCAGGTCAGAAGATTTTATTTCCTTTTATAATTTATATTAGAATGTATAATTTTATAAATCAAACACTCAGTTTTTCCTTTTATTTATTATAGAATATTTATATTTAAACATTCTAAAGTAGTTTACAACAAATTATAAAACAATATGTCATTATAAAAGCACAACATTTATACACGTTAATGGTTGGGAAAAGCCATAGTGGACAAGTTTTTAATAATCAAAGAAAGCACATCATCTGCGGAACATCACAGAGAGGTAGTTGTTCCAGAGGTTGCTCTCCAAAAGAAGGTCTGTTGCCACATTTATTTATTGTATTTCTACCCCACCCATTACCAGAAAGGCTCCATTTGTTGGTGCCAGGTGACACTCTGCAGAATGTGGCACAGGCAGGATCCTCCCCTGAAGATCACAGTGGCCTAATGGGTCTATATTATAAGACATGTTCTTTCAGGTAACTTGGTCAGAAGCTATTTAGGTTATTTTTTTGATAATAAGAACTTGAAGCTGGCTTGGTAGCAAAGTGAACAGCACAGGTCTTTCAACACCTGTGTTGTGCATAGCAAAGCATTCTATTCAACAGCTCCGCTGCAACATTCTGCGCTAGCTGCATCTTCTGAACTATCCTCAAGGACAACCCAAAATAGAGACTATCATAGTAGTTTAGTTTTGAGGTTATTAATGCTTAGAACACAGTGGGTAAGCTATCTCTGCCCAGGAACGAGTGCAGTAGATATTTCAGCCAAAGTTGGTAAAGATCCACAGTGAAATGGAAATCTGTTGAGTGTGATGACAGTGATGAATCTAGGAACATCCCTAATCTGTGTACACATTATTTTAGGGAGGCTGCAACTCCACCCATCATAAGTAAACTCTCTAATTTCTAGATTCAGGTACCACTTACATTTACTGCCTCCATCTTACCAGGATTCAATTTCAGTTTGGTGGTTCCCATCCAGCCCACTGCAGAAAGAACTTACTAGCACTTCAAAAGTACATAATGTGGAAGTTCTCAGAACTCCTAGGGGTGTACAGACCAGATCCAGGAAGATTGCTTATGGATAAGGGAAAGAACTGTGATCTGGAAGGATGCTGGTTCAAATCATAGCTCAACTCCCTCACAGGGTTATTGTAAGAATTATTAAAACAATGTAAATGAAATCATACTTAATAATTACAAGGACTGCATCAGTGTGCATGGCACTAAGAGAGAGTATAAGATATTGACTCCAAGGAGCTAACAGGGTAACAAGAGGAAGAGAAGAACGTAGAGGTGGGGGAAACAGAGAAAGTATATGAATACTTAGGTTTGATTGCAGTGCTGAATATGATCCAGGTGGGTGTACCAAAAGATTATGGAAATAATGGGTTTTGAAGAAGGAACAGAGATGGCATCATGAAGATGTTCTGGGAGCCAGTTCCATTCAAGGGAGAAAGTGGTAATTTGAAGGAGCAGGAGACCTATGGATGGTGCAGGACTTGAAGAAGCAAAGCTCACAGGCAGGGATGCATATGAATAGAATGGATAGCAAAGGCCATGAAGGAAATACAAGGAGTTTACCCAGGACCCAGGAGCAGACAGAAAGTCTGTTTAAAGATTTAGGGCTAGGATATAGAAAGATCATGTCTCCTGACATTTCAAATGCCTTATAATTGAAAAGTAAAGATTCTTTTCTAAGGTTTGCTCTCCCCTTCTATCAACCTGCTGTCCTCCAATTATTCTTGAATATGCTTAAGAGAGAGCTTCATAGCAAAGATCCATGCAGTGTCCCCATGGAGACTGACACTGGTGACACAGATGAATCTACTAGTACCTCATGGGATGACAGTTTCAGTAGATGAATGTGTTTGAGGAAATCACATCCACTTAAGAGGATTTTTCGACACTTGCCCAGGAAGCAACAAGGCTTAGTTGTGAATTTATCACCATACTATTTATCCAGTAAGGAAAGACAGATTTCCAGCTCAGGGTTAAGTTCTGTTAACTATTCACTGCTACATAGCATGCATTTCATAAGAGAATAGCTTCATTTTCTCTTATCCATCAATTACAACTTTAGAAACATTTTCAGCAGTAGTAGGTCTACTTGTCAGCCTCCTTTTGTCCCAGATCCCAATTTACAGCACATTGTATCAAAGACACATATTTGGCTGTATGCATTGGCATAGTAAACAGAAGTCCTTAGGATTCATTTCTGATTCTTCAGGTAGTGGTACAACCTCAATTTAATAACCCCACCCAGCGTTTTGAAGGACACAGCCAAGGACATAACTGCAGCACCATCACTTGCGGGGTTACGCTCTTTCAAATAAAAATGGTATAGGCCGGACTAATTGCTCACAAAAGCGATCTGCACAAGCTTTCTCAGAGGGACAAACACGCGCTTTATTTTGAGGAAGCGCCGGTGAAACGTCCCGAAACGAAACGTCATTACGCACGCACGCTCTCGCTTGAGCCGAACCTACTGCGCATGTGTCCCGACTAACGAGGCGGGCAAGAAAGCAGGTCGAGCGCGCGCACGGCTTTCAGCGCCCGTCCGTCTCGGTGAGTTCCGGAGTATCTGATTAGTGAAAGGGAGGCGGGCTCACTTCGGAAGAAATGAAGGGAGGTCGGGAAGGAATAAAAGGCAATGCGTGAGCGAGCGAGTTCCCTGGAAGGTCTCGGGTGCGCGCGCCTGATCCGTGCGGGGTCTTCTTTAGACTTAGATCGCCGCCGTTGCCTGGCAGGATGGGCGCCTCTAGACTGGAGAACTGAGGGCCCCTAGACTAGTGACGCTGTGCTGGACAAGGGAGCTGAGCTGTACGAGCGGCTCTCCGGAGGGAGAACAGCCGCTCTCCGGCACAGGAAGGGAGGAGGAGCCCCGGCCCGAAAGCCGGGCAGGAAGAAGCGCCTGGTCGGCCCGCGTAGCTTCCCTGCTCTTGACAGGTCTACCCAGTGGCTTCACCGGCTGGAATTCAGTTCATTGGGCAAGCCTTAACGGTGCTCAAGAGCCCCTGTCCCGCAGCCCTGCCCGCACATTCATTCCCTCAGTCCACAGACACAGAGCCCCGAGATTATTTTGCTAGACAACTGGGGCTGAAACTCTCTACCAAATCCTGTTTGAACAGCGGGGTTCAAGCTTGTTATATGTGAAGTAAATAAGTACGTTCCTGAGCATGGCCAGAATTCATTCGCTTTCTGTACCGAGGCACAAAATGCTATCGCTGCTGCATGCATGCAGGAGGGGAGAGGGCGTTCTGACCAGTCAGTGTACCATTGAAAGAACTTGAATTGCAACGCTTCTTTTTGGTATCAACCATGGGGTAGCTATTCTTCCACAGTACTATAGAGCAGCACAGATAGAAGCCTGGTGCACGCATTCTGAACAAGCCACAATTTCAAAAAATGGGTCATCATGATGTGTGAAGCAGGTCATTTTTTGTTTCCATCTGAGACAATTGCATTGAGCAGACAATACAGATCTGCCTCGCATCCTGTGCTTGATGATTTGGTCCAAGAATTGGTTCTGCTGCCAGTTACTTGGTTTTGAGAGAACTCTGAGCGGGAAGGGAAGCTGCTCTCTGTTTTAAAACAGCTTGTCTTCTAACTTTTAGTTATCTTACAGCTATATACAGTTATCTTACACCATGAAGAAGTAAATGTAGGCTTGTCTCCCAGTGCTGCAACTTGTAATGACTCCCTGACTTGTGTCTTCAAATGTGTTTGTCATATTTGCATGCACATTTTAAGTTTATTTATTTATTTTATTAGGATATTTTTATCCCGTCCATTACCGTCTCTGGGTGGCTCACAAGATAAAACACCTAATAAATACATCAAAATAACACACGACTGAGGATATCAATAAAATCATGATTAAATATTTAAACTTTAAAATATTGGGTAAATAAAAAGGTCTTGACCTGGTGCCGAAAAGCATATATGCCGAAAAGCATATAACATCAGCACCAGGCAAACCTCTCTGGGGAGCACATTCCACAGCCGGGGCACCACCGCAGAGAAGGCCCACTGTTGCTAGGCAGTGCTTGTCCAGGTAAGGACACAGCTGATGGATCAGCCGAAGCTGAAGGCTACCTGGGCCTCCAGGGATAGTTCTGGGTTGAGGAGTCCTCCCAAGCTGCGGACCCTGTCCTTTAGAGGGAGTGCAGCCCCCGTTCAGGACAGGACCAGAATAACTTACCTGAAAACCTGAACCACCTACCGAAAGGACCTTCATCTTACCTGGATTGAGTTTCAGTTATATGCTTTACAATGTCATACCAGTGTAGCATGCAGAAGTGGCTCTCTCATAACTTTGAGTGTTTTAGGAACAACAGAAGCTTGTTTGAACAGCCATCCGTAGAATACCCTTCAAAATGATAGGTCCATTGCCTGTCATATAGATATTTAGGTGGTCTGTTTATGTAACTTCAATGCTATCCCTCAATTTTGTGGACAACACTGTGGTCAGGGCTAGAAAATATTACAAATTCCCTAAGATACGTGGACCATATTTTAAACACAGCACATTTCCTACATGAAAACCATTTTTGTATAGGAAAATGTTTTAAAATCATTTGCAGTTGATCCAATCGGATAAAAACATAGAAGCAAAGCAAGTTAGAAGGGGCCTCCGGGGCCATCTACTGTGACCTCTGACTCTGCTCATGTAATCCCCAAGATGAGGTTGTTCAATCTTTCCTTGAACACCTTCACTGAAGGGGCCTCAACCACCTCCCTTGGAAGCCTGCTCCATATCCTAGGGGTCCTAACCGTCAGGAAGTACTTCCTAACATCCAACCTGAAGCCGAGTTCCTTGAGCTTTGCCCTATTGGAACCAATGACATCTGACTTCTAGATTATCGCATGCATTCTGTTTCACTGCACATAGCAGTACTTTCTTCTTGGAATATAATATTTGGAAATGTTAGGATATGTAGGGATTCTGAGTCCTGCCCCCACCCACCCCCACCCGATTTACTCTGTTTTACAGCATAGGAATCAACCTTATACCAACTGATATTCAATCCAATGCTGTATAGGCTACATTAATTTTTCCTAAGAATTCCCATGCATTGCCATGCTGGCTGGAAATTATGGAAATTGTAATCCAACACATCTTGCTGAAACTAGGTTGGAGAAAGCTGGTTTATACTGGCAGGCAGCTGCTCTTTATGGTTTCAGATAGACATCTTTCATAGTCTTGCATGAAGTAAGCAAGGATTGAACTTGGGATCATTTGCATGTACTGCTACTGAGCTATGATGTATCTTTGTATATCAGTATTACCCAACCAAATGCCTTCCAAGTATTTTGTACAACAATGCCCACAATGTATTATCATTAACTGTGTTTACCAGGTTGTTGGGAGTTGTAGTCTAAAACAGCTGAAGAGCAGCAAGTTGTGGGAGGCTGCTTTAAGGGAAGGGATGGTGAACCATCTCCACTCATGTTTTTCTAGATGTAAAACGCACTTCAGCAGATAAGGTGATTTTTCATTGAGGGAAAAAATTCTTCCCCATACTGTAGCAATAAAAATTGGGGCATTCCTCCTCACTCCAGCTGAGTGAAAATAAGGATTAATTTGGCTTGAAATGCCATTGTCAGTGTTTACAAATGTAACTTATTACATTTCTTTATACAGTGGAACCTCAGCTCACAAATGCCTCAGTTCGCGACCAAATCAGGTTGCGAACAGAAATTTTACCGCAGGTTGCGAACTCTGCAGTGGGTGACGATCGTGAGTGTGTCCACCTTCCCTGCACAGGTGCGATCACGGTCATGCTGGGAGGGGGAGATTGCTGCGATTGTGCCCGTGTTCCCTGTCCAAGTGCGCTCACGCTCGCGTCCCCCCTGCATGCCTGCGCACACGCCTGCCTCCCCCCGTGTCTGCCCCCACCCCCACATGATCGCTGGGGGGGGGGGAGGCTGCGATTTTTGTTGTTCTTTGTCACTTCGTTTCAAGTTTTTATGAGTAAAAAAAATAGTTGCAGAACAGATTCACCTTATTTACATTGACCCTTATGGGGCAATTTGACTTGGCTTATGACCAATTTGGGTCACGACCAGAGTCCTGGAACAGATTAAGTTTGTGAGCCAAGGTACCACTGTATATAGAAACTGACTTAGGTAGAATCATCTTCAAGCTTCTTTCACATACTCAGAGAAAAAAGAAAGAAAAAAACACTTTGGAGTCATAGGTTAATATTTATATTTTTTTCTTGATAGCTTGTATATAGTACTTGGATAGAATATTAATATTGTAGCAATGCCTGCTGCTCAAACAGACTAGTCTAAAACAGCCAGGCATTTCTCCTTGCTGCTCAGTAGGGATGAATAACATGTAGTTCCTGTTGTCCCTCAGTGTGGCCTCTGTTGCTCCAAGTATGACAACCAAGGATGGAAAATCTGTGGATTGCTGCTGAAATTTGGCCGTAAAATGCTGTGGAGACTTACTAAGGAAAAAATTAACCTAAGCTATGGATACTTATTAATGATTATTACCTTGCATTTAGACCCTGCCCTTTCCTGTTTTGAGGATCTTAAGACAACTGACATAGTTCTCTTTCACTCCATTTTTATCCTCTGTAGGGTAGGTTAGCTTGGGAGATTGAGATTGGGCCATTGAGTAATCCAAAGTCATCTATTGAGCTTCATGGCCAAGTGGGTACTAGAAACTGGATCTCCCATGGCCCCTGTCCAACACTTGAACCACTATACCACACTGGCTCTCTTTGAAAGCAAGCTAAATTAGTCCGTAGTAAGACTTTATACTGGCTTGCCCCTACATTTCAGAGGCAAACTTCTTTCCTCTTACCAGAGCAAAAGTGCCACTGTTAGGGAGGAGGTCCAGGAGGGGAATGGCCCGCAGCCATCCAAAGTTGTCCACCTGCTTAGGGTGACTACAGATGGGTTTACCATCTTGTGAAGTTTATCAAATGTAAACAGGGATTTTCAGTCTTGCTCTCTCTCTGATGCTTTGGTCAGTGGAATAAGAAAATGTCTTAAAACCATAATCCTGTACACATTTACTTCGAAGTAATGTATCAGTGAAGTTTGCTTTTGAATAAACATGCATAGGATTAGGTCACGCATTTTGATCATGACTAATTCCAGCAGTCCAGATCTTGCTACAGATTCTGTATAGTAGTCGATAGTCTCCTTGATAATCCCTTTCAAGTAATATTGGTGGTTCAGACTGCAAAAGTGGACTGTTTCTATACTTTCAAATTTATCACAGGTATCTGGATTTTTCTATTTTGTTTGAACTTACACAGAATTGCACCCACCTGCCTTAGTGCTACATTCAATCCACTTGGCTACGTCTCTCTTTTATGACCAGAAACAAATCAGTAAAGAATCCATTTTAGTGACATCTCTGATTGCCATAGAAGAGCATTTCCTGCTCCAAATATGATTTCGCTGGATTCATTAATTGCTTTTAGCAGCTTTATCTTACCTATAATCGCAAAATCAAAAAGGTAATAAGTGGTTCACAGTTGTGTTTTTGGGGCTATCCTCAGGATACAGAAATCTCAGTATGTACACTCAGGGACAAAAGCCTGACTTGCATGACATCATTGTTTCTGTTTTTGTTTAAAGGTGCTTTCTGATGTGGCCTGAGGAGCAGCTATGGAAAAATGGAGCTTAATGACAATTACTGCATTACTAGGACTTGTTGTCCGTTGGGCTGTATCACTTGGATCTTATTCAGGTAGTATTTATTAGGAATGTGCCTGGACTAGTGTATGGTTTAGGAGGTTTCTTTTTGAAGTTGAGATTACAAATATATGGTTGTTCAGACAGGGAAAGTATGTACCACAGTAACATTTTGAACCTCAAGTAGCCTTTTTCTTTTCTTGATAGGACTGCAAACATCAACATAAATGTTGCAATGTTTGTGTTCTTTTCCCTCCCCTCTCATATCATACTCATTCATATTTTCCTAACTTCTGGTGTCTTTGACAATTTGTCATTCTCCAAAGCAAGCTGATTTTAGTTCTGTAGGTTCAACATAGTTCAGATTTGAGATATGAACTGTGAGGTATTCCCATTCCATTATATTTCAGGTGTTTTAAGCTTTGGAGTTTCATTACCATTCTATTTCATTTCCTGGCTCGGCAGGATGGGAGTTGTAGTCCATCACAACTGTTAGGCACTAGGTTATAGAAGGCTGTGTTAGATAGTTGAGATTAAAGTTTGTAGGTAACAAATGCAAATGAGGATTATTGGTTTATTTTTCGTGGATAAGAATAATTAGCTTGGCAAGAATTAATACCAAATGGTGGTTTATGATTATTACGCAAGATGTGAAAATGTATTAAGGTTGAGTACCCAGACTATTCAACCATAATATAGTTGCTTCTGTAGTTTGGTGATACAGAAAACTACCTAGAATGCATTGACATTGACTGATCTTATTGTAGTTCTTTTACTTTTTATACCAAGAAACTGTCACCACTGTAATAAAGAGCTGTTGGCATGCTGCTTTGAGGTTCTGCTTAGTAATAACTTGTAAAATGTTGCACTTTGCAGTTTTCTCCTCTTTCTCCTGCCCCTACCCCAAATGAGTGAGAGTATAGACTACATAATTACAATTCTCTGCTTTGGAAAGCATTTCCAATCCTGCACATATTCTGTTTAAAGACACTGACTTTAGTGAGATTTAGGTAACTTAATTACACAGAATGGCAGCATATGAACTAGAGAAACTAAAATAAAATGTCTAAAAAGTTTATGTAGCTGTTCAGTTTAACTACCTGCCACTAGAGTTGAAAGTCTTCTGGCTTATACACATCTCTCTGTTTTGCATCATGCTTACAGAGATACCCCTAACTAGATTTGGAAAGCTGCTAACATTTTAATGCATTTTGCCTGGCTGTTCTTGCAAGTAACATACCAGGCATAACATAGGGTAACATAGAATGCTAACCCGTGTGTTATGTACTATTTTGACTTCCTAGAAATTGGTGATTTTAAAAGGCCTAGCTGTGACTCCCTTCCCTCCCCTCCTTTCCCCAGCTTCTCCACATTTTCTCCTTATGGCTATAATGCTTAGTTAATTCTTCCAGAAGAGTTGATTGACACACAGTGTGTTCTGGAATCCCAACAGCTCCAACTGGGGAGTAAAGATGTGAAGGTCAAAGTGAGTTGGGCTCTAGGTGCTGCAAATTGGCATGAGTTTGTTTACTATAAATACCAAGACTTCTTCTCTTGCCATGGTGACCATATGTAAAGATTGGCCATAGCACATCCTTCACAGTCAGAGTCAAACTTCCATAAACTAGTTTCTCCAACCTTGTCCTCCAAGCCCTCTTTCCTAGGCCTTTATTTCATAATTATCTCTCCCAGTTAGGATTGGAGGCCCTGTTTATTTAGCCCTACTATTGCAACTTCCTCAGAATCACAGCCCAACTTCTTCAAATCCAAACTGACTGTGCATGCTCATGGCCTAGTTTTTCTTGTACAGCAGCCTTTGGTTGGTCAGAGCAGAGTCTGAGCTTTTTTCTTCTTATTTCTCCTGTACCTGGATAGATATTTTATAGGTACCCCTGCATGGAGTGGGAGGGTTAGACTACACAATCCTTAAGGTTCTTTGAACTCTGTGATTCTATAACCATTTTTCTTTATGCCAGACTTGCATAATATGAGCAGGACTGCTCATTTTACATGAACTGATTCAAGCTATATTAGAACTTTTGAAGTCCCTTACTTATGATTACAATATTTGTATACTTCAATTTCTGTTCAATAAGAGATCTGTGTGTCAGCTCACGGGACAAATCAGACACAGCACAATTAATTTCTAAAGGCAACTTAGATGCATGTATCTCTGTATAGGGGCATATCATATTCAGAGAAAACATTGGCACAGTGGCCTGTATCATTCCTGTTTTTTAGAAATTCTTGTTGTTGTTAGTCGCGAAGTCATGTCTGACCCATCGCGACCCCATGGACAACATTCCTCCTGGCCTTCCTGTCCTCCACCATCCCCCGGAGTCCACTCAAGCTCACACCAACTGCTTCAGTGACTCCATCCAGCCACCTCATCCTCTGCCGTCCCCTTCTTCTTTTGCCATCTATTGTTCCCAGCATTAGACTCTTCTCCAGGGAGTCCTTCCTTCTCATTAGGTGGCCAAAGTATTTGAGTTTCATCTTCAGGATCTACCATTGCTTAATTTCAAAGTGATTATACCCAAACAATAATATACAAACAATATCCAAAATCATGTAAGATAACCAACCAGTTTGGTACTTAGTAAATGCAATTGTTTAATAAGTGTGGTTGTTAAATAAATAAATGTATTTCAATACATTGTAGTAGATAATCTGGGAGAACTCTTAATTGTCCATATGCTTGAAAACCTTTTGGTAGCTCTCTTCCTAAGACAATATTAGAGACCCTTCTATTCAGTAAAGGACCAAGCAATTTGAGAACCTTTTCTTTAAATATCCTTTCTGGAAGAAAGTGATTGGGTTAGTGCTAGCTACAAAGGGACAAATTCTATGCTTCTCTGCTACTTGTGTGACTTGTTCAAATATAGATCATATGAAGGAATTATAGATGGCTTTCCTTTATATAAAAGAAACTCTTCAATCTCCATGAAGTTAGTCAATACCTTAGCAGAAATAAATGTGTGCTTCCAATAGCTAATCAGAAGAGACAAGAAGTGAATAATCTGAACGCCTCAGTGTTTAATGTAATGCTTCTGCCATTGAATTGTTCTTTGGTCCTCATTTAAGGAGAAACCCATGGAAATCAAAAGTGCTACTGACAGCTGTGAGAAGAAAAATGTACTGACTCATCTTTCATTGTTAATAAATGTGACTGATTGAGAATACTAAATAGAGAACAATTACAGTTAGCCAAAGTGGAGAAAAATTATGGAAATTGTATTTAAGCACTCAACTAAGCTGAAGGTTCAAACCAGATTTAGGAGTAGTGACTTAAATAAGAACATAACAGCAATACTGGATCAGATCAAATGTCTGATGTGGTCAAGCATTCTGATCACACAGGGGCCAAGCAAGCTGCTTATGGTAGATCCACAAGCAGGATGTGAGTGCAACAGCATGTTTTTTGCATTTTTCCAACTCTGCAATGTCAATTTTTATTGCAGAGTTCCCAGTGTAGTTCCCAGAAATATACATAGTATTTCAAGTGTGGGCATGCTGTACATTTGTATAAGGGGAATATAATATTGAATGTTTACTTTTCAGTGTCTTTCCTAATTCTGTCTAGCATGCAGTTTGCCTTTTTAAAGGAGTTTACCTGGAAGGGACATGAACCTAACTCACTTGTAATTTCTCAGATACTCCTGGATCCCTTTCAAAAAGTTGCTGTTACATTGGCAATGCTCTAGTGCTCTGGTACAGAAGCTGATCTTAGGGACATGTTATTTTTTCTTAGACAATCAGGAATTCCATATTTAAGATCTTTAAGAAATCTAGGATTGATTCCTCTGAGCCCAGTGATTTATTTATTAACTTAATTTGTCTATCATGTTGAGAACTTCATCTTTTGTCACCACTATTTGTCTTAGTTCCTTAGATTCCCATCAGTTCAGGCACAAGTATCTGGCCCATATCTTTTCAGTGAAGACAGATGAAAAGAATTAATTCGGCTTCTCTGCAATCTCCTCATCCTTCTTTAGTATTTCTTTAACTTTATTATCATCCAACTGCCTCCCTAGCTCTTTTCCTGCTTTTAATATTTTTAAATATTTTTTATTGTCAGCCTAGCAACATTTATCAAAATACCATATTTAATCTGTTGTTTGTTTGTATCTCCTGTGTACAAGCTTGTGTTCCCCATTGTTTTCCTTATGTGGGCAAGACTTATTTTCTGAAGGAAGCCGTCTATTCGATAATAACTTCTTGACACTCCTTGTTAACCATGCTGGTGGCTTCTTGTACTTTATGCTACCCATCCTAGCATGTGGTATACTTATGATTCCATTTCTATACTGCCTCATAGATGAAGCTGTCTCTGCAGTTTACAATACACTGAGTTTCTATCATCATCATCATCATCATCATCAAGTAACTTCCAAGCATTCTGAAGAAATTTAACTCTCTCAGGTCCTTTCAACTTCCTTTTAACCAGTTTGCTCATTATAAAGAATGTTTGTTTGTTTGTTTGTTTGTTTTTTATGTATATTCTGCCTTTTTCCTACAAAGGGCTCAAGGCAGCTTACATCATTCTCCTCCTCCATCTTATCCCCCACAACAACAACCCTGTGAGGTAGGTTGGGCTGAGAGTCTGTGAGTGGCCCAAAGTCACCCAGTTGGCTCCATGGCTGAGCGGGGACTAGAACCCAGGTTGTCTGAGTCCCAGTCCCATGCTCTTAACCACTACGCCCCACTGGCTCTCTTTTGAAGATGTTCCTCTTTTGAAGTTGAATGTATTGGATGTCCTTGTAAATTTTCCACTTAAATGCATTAAATCTTACAATACCATGATTACTGTTTTGCATTGTTTCTCCAGCATTTACATGTCATACTAGGTCCTGGGTGATTCCATTTAGGATTAAGAACAGGTTTACTTCCTATCTGGGTGTTTGTGGGACAGTACTGTTTTAACCTTTTTGTTGTGACTGGGACATGCATTTATCCAGTCAGTATGGGGCTAATTGAAGTCACACATTATTGCAACACCTTCTTGTTCTGAAGGTTCCCGAGTTTTGTTTCAAGTTCACCTGGAAAAATGACTATGAAAGAGTCTATGCCTTTTAGGTTTTCTAGTCTGCTGGACAGTATTGCCTTCTTTAATGTACAGAGCAGCACCTTCTCCAGTACATCTTCCCTCTAAAGTTTTACCCAGAAATGACCATATCCCTCTGATTCTCACCATTCTTCCAGGTTTCTGTAATGTCCACTATATTTAGATTTTCCTTTAAAACCAGTCACTCCAACTCTATCTTGGCTTGGAGGCTTTGATACTTGCAAATAAATGAGTGGGATGGTGTAAACTGGTATGCTGCAGCAACAGGGGGTTAGATCCAATGGCCTTCTTGGCCCCATCTGACCCTACTATTCTACGATTCTATGAAATAGCTATACATGGTGCCTTTCTCCAAATGTCTCTGGTGTATGCATCTTCTGCAATGGTAATTATGCTGCTTTGACTGCCTACATGTGTTGATGGCTTATTTCGTCCCCTTCTATATGCTAAGATCATACTTCTCTTATACAACTCTTTGGTGTGGCCACACTTAAAATATTGTGTACAGTTCTGGTGGCTGCTCCTGATAAAAAGACACTGTTGAGTTGGAGAAAGTGCAGAGAAGAGCAAATAAAATCGGGGGATGGAGCAACTCCCCTATGAGGAATGGCTACAACAAATGGAATTGTTTAGCTTAGAAAAAATATGAGTAAGGGGAATAGAGGTGATTAAAATTATACATGGAGAAAGTGAAGAAGGGTACATTTTTCTCCCTCTTCCATAATACAAGAACCTGTGGTCATCCCATGAAGCTGATTGGTGGAGAATTCAGGACAGATAAAAGGAAGTACTTTACACAGCACATAGTTAAACTGTGGAATTCACTGCTACAGAAGTAGTGATGGTCACTAATTTGGATGGCTTTAACAGTGCCAGTGTGTGTAGTGGTGTAGTGGTTAAGAGCATGGGACTGGGACTCAGACAATCTGGGTTCTAGTCCCCACTCAGCCATGGAGCCAACTGGTCACAGACTCTCAGCCCAACCTACCTCACAGGGTTGTTGTGGGGATAAGATGGAGAAGGAGAATGATGTAAGTTGCCTTGAGCCCTTTGTAGGAAGAAGGCAGCATATAAATCGAAAAATAAAATAGAATTAACAAAGGCTTGGGTAAATTCATGGAGGAGAAGGCTATCAATGGTTAATAGCTTTGCTGGCTAGATGCTGCTTCTATTATCAGGGCAGCATACCTACATATACCAGTTGTTGAGAAGCTTGGGCAGACAGAACTCTTGTTCCCATCTTGCTTGAAGTTCCCTATGGGCAGCTCATTTACCACCATGTGAACAGAGTACTGGTCTGGATGCACCGATGGTCTGATCCAGCATGGCCCTTAAGTTCTTGTGAAGAAATTCATGGAATTTCATAATCATGAATGCTGATTTTTATAGTAATAAGGTTCACAACTTTTTATTTTTTAGGGGCTGGAAAACCACCTATGTATGGAGACTATGAAGCTCAAAGACACTGGCAAGAAGTTACCTACAATCTGCCAGTAGAACAATGGTATGCTTTATTTAGAAAATGTTACTTCTTATCATAAAACAAGACTTCGAATGTATATATAAGATATTTTATATGTATATATGTTTATCCATGTGTGTCATCATGTATGATATCTATGTCATAATTATTAACTACTTGTATTTAAAATACTTTGAAAACATTGGGCAGAGTAATCCACAAAGGATGAAAATCATATAACAGTTCTTGCCTCTTTCCACTTTAAATACTTATGTAATCTATGGCCACTGAAGTTTAGCAAACCTGTAACAAGGTTACAGCATGACCCCTCCAAGAGATTCCTGACATGTGTTGCTGACAACTTTCTCCAGCAGAAAGTAGAGGAAGGTACGAGAAGATCAGCTATACTCGATTTTATACTAACCAACAGGGATGGTCTGGTGGACAAAATATCAACCATGGGAACTCTGGGGGATAGTGATCATGTGATACTTGAATTCTCAATTATGAAGGAGACAAAGGGTAACTGGAGCCAAACAAGCATCCTGGACTACAAAAAAGCCAACTTTAACAAACTCAGAAAAATGATAAACGAAGTGCCATGGCAACACACCCTTAGGGGGAAAGGTGTCCAAGAGGGATGGGAAATCTTGAAAAAGAAGATTCTTGAAGCACGACTACAAACAATTCCATCAGGAAAAAAGTGTAGAAGACAGCAGAGGAAGCCCACGTGGCTCCACAAAGGGTTAAATGTCAGCCTGAAAGAAAAAAAAAAAAAAACATGTACAGGAAGTGGAAACAGGGCCAGGCCACGAAAGAAGAAAATAAATAGCAAGGAATTGTAGGAATTGCAACAAGAAGGCTAAAGCAGAAAATGAGCTAAGAATACCAAGGGATGCTAAGTACAAGAAAGCTTTCTTCAGATACATCCAGAACAAGACATGAGAAAGAGAAGGTGTCCAGCTACTTTTTTTAAAAAATAAGTTTTATTTGAGAAATTATAATCCTAAAAAACAAAAAGAAAACTACAACATCCATCATCAAAAACATCGAGCCCGCTGGGTCAGCCGCCACATCCTTCTTTTTCCATTTATGATAACTTAAAAACATATTTAAATCTATGCGAAGTCCCAATAATAAAAAGAGTCCCAAGTTTGATAGAAGTCAGTATCTTCCTTCTCCTTCAATGATCAAGTCAATCTATCCATTTCTGCACAGTCCAGGATCTTTTTTAGAATCAGTTCATCAGTGGGTAGTTCTTCACTTTTCCAGTGTTGAGCGAATGCAATCCTCACCGCAGTGATTACATGTAAAATCAAATACATTTCTTGTTTACTAATGTCCTCTGGAATAATGCCTAATAAAAAAACTTCAGGTTTAAAAGCTAAGGATTTTTGTAACATTTTCTCGAGCCATTTATGTATTTGAATCCTATACTTTTTCACATTATCGCAAGTCCACCACATATGATAAAAAGTACCCAATTTATGTTTACATTTCCAACATCCATTTGACATATTTGGAAACATCTTAGCTAATCTATTTGGCGACTGATACCATCTATAAAACATTTTATACATGTTTTCTTTATATGAAATTGCTAATGTTACCTTGATATTTCTCTCCCACAGCTTTTGCCACTTTTATAATTCAATATTATATCCAAAATTTTGTGCCCACATTATCATAGTTCCCTTAACCTGTTCGTCTTACATTTTCCTATCAAGTAAGAAGTCATATAATCTTTTAATCATTTTCTCATCTGATTGATCTCATCACTTGATCAAACACTGTTGTCCAGCTACTTAAAGTGGATGGCAGAGTGATAACAGACGACAAGGAAAAGGCAGAGGCGCTCAATTCCTACTTTGTTTCAGTCTTCTCCCACAAGGAAATCTGCAGTCAAGAGGAAGTTCAAGCTGGAAGTGAGAGATGGCAGCCCAAGATTGACAGACAAATGGTCAAGGAATTCCTAGGTGGAATAATCACTTTCAAATCTCCAGGGCCCGATGAACTCCATCCCAGAATCATAAAAGAGCTAGCAGAGGAACTCTCAGAACCACTGGCTATCATCTTCTATAAATCTTGGAAAACAGGAGAAGTGCCAGATGACTGGAGAAGGACTAATGTTGTCCCTATCTTCAAAAAGGGGAAAAAAGATGAACCTGGGAACTATAGACCAGTTAGTCTGACATCAATCCCTGGAAAAATTCTGGAGCAATTTATTTAAAAAATTCATCTGCAAGCATCTTGAAGAAAATGTAGTGATTACTAGAAGCCAGCATGGATTTATCAAAAATAAATCCTGTCAGACTAATTTAATCTCATTTTTGACTGGGTAACTTCCCAAATGGACAAAGAGAACACTGTGGACATAATCTACCTAGACTTTAGCAAAGCTTTCTTCATAGTGCCACACGACATCTTTATTAATTTAGATGAGCAAGTACAAGGAAAGATGATCAAATTCGCAGATGATACAAAACTGGGTGGAATAGCAAACACCCTAGAGGACAGAACGAAGATCAAGGGCGATCTTGATAAACTTGAACACTGGGCTGTAGCCAACAGAATGAAATTCAATAAGGACAAGTGCCAAGTCCTCTACCTAGGAAAAAGAAACCAAAGGCTTCGATACAAGATGGGGAATATGTGGCTTATGAACAAGAAATGAGCAAGAAAAAGATCTTGGAGTAATTGTGGACAATAGGCTAAACATGAACCAACAATGTGATGCAGCTGCCAAAAGGGCAAATGCTATCTTGGGATGCATTAACAGAAGTATTACTTCCAAATCACGAGAAGTAGTACCTTTATGCTCCACACTAGTCAGACCTCATCTGGAATACTGTGTCCAGCTCTGGGCACCAAGATTTAAGAAAGATGCAGGGAAATTAGAAAGGGTCCAGTGGAGGGGAACAAAAATGATCCAGGGTTTGGAAACACTGCCCTATGAGGAGAGACTGAAGGAACTGGGCATGTTCAGCCTTGAGAAGAGACTGAGGGGGGACATGATATCCCTCTGTAAGTACCTCAAAGGCTGTCACAAAGAGGAAGGTCAAGCTCTCTTCTTGCTAATGCCAGAATGTAGGACACAGAATAATCAATTAAAGTTGCAGCAACCCAGATTCAGGCTAGACATCAGGAAAAGCTTCCTCACGGTCAGAGCAATACAACAGTGGAACTAACTGCCTAGAGAGGTGGTGGGCACTCCCACACTGGAGACATTCAGAAAGAACCTGGACAGCCATCTGAGTGGGGTGGTGTAACAAAGTGTCCTGCAACAGCAGGGGGTTGGACTCGTGGCCCTTTCCAGCTCTTCTATGATTCTAGGTCTGGATGGGAAAGGATGACATCAGTGGAATTAACAGTGGAGGTACAAGATGATTCAGGAAGCAAAATTTATGACCAAAAAGTACTAACAGAAGCAGCTGTCTCTGAAAGGCGAACACCCATGACTGGGTTCCCACAACACAAGCCATGTTTTTTTTTTATCATCATGTCATCCAAAACCAATTATCATATTCCAGCATGATACGTCTGAGCCTCAGAAACAACATCAATGGTTTGTTCTGTGATTTCTGCTTACTTCAATTGCTTGTTGTATAGTCTGAGCCCAGACAACACAATCCTTCATGGTAGGAATCTCAGAGTGGCCACTGTTGCTCTTCCCAAGCAGTTATCCTGAGTGCCTCTGGCAGTTGCTCCAGCTTGGTACAGTGGTCAGGAATGCCCCAGTTCCTTCTGCCTCTTTGGGACAGGAGATGAACAATCTGAAGAGATGATTGCCCCACCTCTCAAGGGAAAGAACCAGCTGGTTGAAGATGTCCCCAACTGGGATAGCACATCCCAGCTGAAGGCTTCCTCCCACTCCTGTCTGAGAGATACCCTATCAGGCACAATCAGGAGGTGGGCATCTGCTGGGTGGTGTTCCTTTGCTTGGGAGCTGTGCCACTCAACCCCACTGCTGCCTGAGAGGCTTTCCTTTCAGAAGGAGGGGCCTGGGCTGGGTGAGGACTTGCCAGAAAGGGGGGCATCCATGATGATGCTAACACATGATCCCTCCCACTTGAGATAAAGATACTCTGGCAGGGACTGGCCTCTCCATCCCAATGCCCAACAGAGCACCCCTCTCTCAAGCACCTCCTTCTGGGGAAGGGAGAATCGGGCTAGGCAAGGATGTTCAGACTAGCCCTGGCTCCCCCACCCCACACTTCCCCCAGTTGAACAGCTTTTCTTTCAGAAGGGGCAGGGAGGGAGGGGATCCAGGCTAGCCAAGCACCTACTAAGAAGGGAGCATTCTCATCTAGCCCAGGTTCTCCCAGCACATGCTTGAGGGGAAGCCACTCAGGCAGGAGCAGGGCAGCACAGCCCAACCAACTGGCACCACCCTCACTTGCACTTCAGAGGCTTCCTTTCAGGCAAGATTGGGGCAATCAGCTGAGCAGCACTGCACTCAATTCGAGCATAGCCCAAATGATTGCCCCCCATTCTGACACGCAAAACACAGAAACAGAGTAAGTCAGAAGGGGCCTCCTGGGCCATCTAGTTTGATCCCTGGCTCCAGCCAGCTCTGCTCACAACATGCCCACCATGTGCATGTCTAGCTATCCTTGAACACCCTCACCAATGGGGCCTCAACCACCTCCCGTGGAAGCCCATTTCTCTGAAGCAGGATTGGGGCAATCAGCTGTGTGGCACTGCACACAATGAGCTGATTCCCCCCCCCCCCCCCTTTTTGCCTGAGAGTGAATTAAGCATCTCCCCTTCTGCTCCAGATTCAAAAGCAAAAGCAGAGGCAGGAACAAGCAAGGTCAGGAACTGGCAAGTCATGGCAAGTCCAGAAGCAAAGGAAGAATCAGGAAAGGGCAAAGATCAGATACAAAGAAGGAATGACAGAACAAGAGGCAAAGCAAGGTAAGAAGCTAGAAAGGTGTTGCAGGACTAGAAGTGAAGGCAAGGATGAGCTACCCAGCAAGGTAAGACCAGAGGAAGGAAAGAGTCAGGTGCAAAGAATCAAGACAAGACTGGAAACAAGACTACAAAACAGTCATTACAAAATCTATAGGTTGTTGTGACAAAGCTGAACATTGTAGTAAATCCATAGAACCATATAAGCTGCCCTGCATGATCACAGAAGCTCAGATCCTCACAAGTGACTACTGGTGTGCTCCTGGTCCTGCAGGTACTTGCAGGGTGAACTATGCTGCTCATCACAAGGGGGAGCTATGTCCAGGCTTCAGATCCTGTCACAACGTTTCTCAACTTGGTCTCTTCCAGACTAAAGACCCTAGCATTCCTGACTTGACTATGCTACCTAAGGCTGGTGGGAGCTGAAGTCCAAAATAGCATGAACTCATAAGGATATCAAAGACTGTAATATGCAATACTGGGATAAGTGAGGCAACTTTATAAGTAATCATAAATTTTTGTGTACATGTTTTTATTATTTATTAATGAAGAATGCAGATAAGCCATTTCCAAATTGGAAGAATGTGTTAGTATCATCTGAATATTTGGATGGTATAGAAGGAGAAGAGGAGAAGGTTGCATATGAAGGAGTGTCTCTGAAAGATTAATAAAGCACTAGAATTTACAGTCAAGAGAATGAAAATCAAGTTCACTTGTCTGTCATCCAAATGAAAAGTTATAGTCAACCAATATATCATGCTAGTTTAAATTTGGAATTGTATGATTTGTCCTGCACATTTGTTGGTGTGTGGTAAGTGCAATGGGAAGCAATTTGTTCATGGTTGGTTGTGCTGCAGCATCCCTATATTTGTCACTGGGGCCAAGTGTTGGCCTTTGAAGAAGCTTCAGTATCAACATTATTCACATTATGCTCAAGTGACATTGCCATGTATTTCACATCCACTCCCTTTGTGCAGAAGCAAAGTATATTAAAAGGGTAGGCAGTAAGCTAGGAATGTGATTTGTATGTAGTTTTGCTGTATGTGGTTTTACTGAGCCAGAGGCACAAATTTAAATCTTTCTGCCTTCCCTGTCTTTCTTTGGAGCCTATGCATATATTTATCAAAGACAATTTTGACAGCATCTTATATTGTCAGTTAGGAAAGTGGAAATTCTTACTCCTTTCTGGCCTACCCCTAAGTGGAATCTAAGACTAAATAAGGGAACAATGCATGATGAAGTTAGTGGGATATTAACAAGAAAATTGTAGAATATTAAAACTCAAATGAAGGGGTTAAACTATTCTGACATTAGAAATCTTGAATGGTGGAATAAGGGGGCAGAGATGCAGCTTTAAGAAATATGATTTATCATGAATTGTTCATAAGATACTTCAGGCTGCTCATAAGGTATTCAAGAAATATCATTTATTGTAATAAATGTCAAAAAATGGCTGCATTTGAGTGGATAGACTGGAAAAGCTAAGAACATGCCCCTTGGCAATTATAAAATAGTAGTCACTCTGTTTCACAGAGATTTAAAGGTTCTGATGTCTTATTTTTGTAACTTTTATTTTCATTGAATAAAACCTTCTGCCTTTCAACTTGAAGATGTGGCTAAATTCTGACTGCTCTTCACAGAAACAGAACAGTCATAGGAATGAAAACCCCTTTACACTTTTCTTATCCCTCTAGAGATTACTTTCTTAGGCTGGTTTAGAAGGCCAGTTTTACCTGTTATTACTAATACGTCGGAGGAGTTCACAACATGTTGTGTTGACAGCTTAGTTACACTGGTTGTTAAGGTACTTTTAGGTTTAGGGATCCTTTATCCTTCTGCAAATCAACAATTCCATCTGGAAATGTTTTATGTGTAGTACCCTTGTCCCCATTGCACAGTGGTTTATGCTTGTTTACAAGAGCAGTCAGTCATTCTTTTTGAACTCACGTGATTTTGCTTTGTGATTTTTAAGCAAAAGTACTGGAGTTAGTTGGATTCCCTTAAGTAACGAACAACTTTTGTTGAAGACTGCAAAACTGCTAAGGACAAGATACAGCTTACCCCCTCAAGTCCCCCTCCCCTATTGCCTTTTTAAAACCCTTGTTTAAATGGGATCCACAGAGTTTCTCCAGAAGAGGAAGTTGGATGCACTTCTGCACTTTCCAATGTAGTGAGAATTTGCGGGGATGCTGGGGAGCAAAATGTGCATCACACAGAAGACTGTCAGGGGAAAAGAAAGGGAGCATAAAGCTCACCATCCACTTCTTACAAACAAAGATCACTCACACCTTTGCGTTCCTCTGACAGCTTGCCTTTTGACAGCTGTCAAAGCAAAGGGAAGAAAAAGCTAACTCTTTTGGGAAAATCTTTGGAATATCCAGAGTTGGTACCTGCTGCACTCTCGCAGCAGATGGTTCCCTCCACATTTTTCCACTGAGAGTCCTGTTTTCTGCATGCATGTAACTGCAGATATTTAAAATAAAATAGATAGTTGTACCTGTGGTGAACCCAATTTTTTTAACAGATGCCACTCAGGCACTTTGAAAGAGCAGTCAGTGGCTATCAAAATGGAGATCACAAAAGCTGGCTGTCAAACCAGTCTTTGCAATCTCAGTAAAAAAGGAAGGGGAAAAAAGTCATGGAGAACCAAAAGCAGCTCCTGATTTTGGCTCAGAGGACAGAAAGCAACCCCTGATAGTGCATCCAGTGGTGGTTGGGGAATTGTGTGGCAGCTTGCATTAGTGCATGTCTGGGGAGGCTTGAGAAGAGCAATAATGGTTCCTTGCTGCTCTTGTCAAGCTATCTGCTAGCTAATTCCTGGTACTCAGGATGGGATCCATCAGCCAGGTTTGGATGACATGACAACCCATTATGGGTGCAAGAAGCCCAGAGCAAATCACATGTTGTCAACGTAGCTTGTTGCCCTCAAAGAGGAAATCTGATAGGAACCAGTCCAAGTTTGCATGAAATGACAACCCATCAGGGATAACAATCCACAGTGGGTTCTTGTGGTGTGTGATCCTAGTTTGTCTGCAATCCAACACCACTTAAGTGGGAATTAATCCTATTCACCTCAGTGTGACTTATTAATGAGTAGATATTGATTGCACTTGAATGCTTTTGCAGTTGAACTTGATGGATTCAGATTAATTTTGTATGACAATCGTTATTTAAGTATGCATAATTAGAATAACAAAACTGGTGGCTTATTCCTATAGAATTCTGCAGTCTGCTAGTGGCAGAAATAGTTATGTCATGGTGTTGTTCTACTGATTAAAGAAGTTCCATCAGCAGAAAAGGGAAGGGATTCCTTGCCACCCACCCCATACCATGCACCCTTCATGTACCTTCAAAATCTGCTCTGGGGGATTTGGAAGCATTCTGGAGCAGGTTTTCAGATGGCATGGACAACTGCAGCAGGGAACAAAGATGGAGGAAGTTCCATCAGACTAGGAGATGTCTGCTAGCATAGTTTTGGATTAACCAGTAGGAGCTTCTCACCAGATCCTGTCCAACGCTGATCTTGAGATAAGTTAACCTTTCTTGGCAGATAGCATAGTCTGAATACATTTTAATCAGTTTTGTTTCCATTCCTGAATCCCGATTCCTTTTTCTATGGCATACAATTTCAAAGCATATCATACACTGATGACAGGTGGCAAATGCCATTACATCAAAGCTACCCAAGAATCTTGTTAGTTAGAATCTTGTCCTGGCATACATTGTATTTTGTTCAAGAGTACTGTAGAAGATTTCAAAGCTGGTCAAGGAGAAGAAAAGAAAGCTAAGTATCTACTGCTGACTGGAATAGAAGTTTGCATCCTTAATCTGCTGGAGTAGAAATTGTGACTCATAATGTTCAGAACAATAACTACTATAAACGTTGTAGCCCAATAGATTTTGAAAAATTTTAGCTTTGTTTCCTAGAAATAAACATTTGCTTTCCAAACAATTACGTCTTAGATGCAGATTTTATATCTATCTTAATCTTAATGCTTCCTCTTCCACTTCATGACAAAACCTTAGCAACTTCATCCAAAATAACCATGAACTCATGGTTAGAACTTCTTTCTAGTAAGAAAGAAATCTTCAGCAAATATTGTGTTTTTTGTTTTTTTTTTAAAATATAATATTTACCATCATTGAAGCTATCTATATTATGAGAGTATATTATAAGAAAATATAAAAGTGATACTGACACAACAGTAAATCATTAGTTAACTTTGCATTGTTTAATCCTTAAGCAACTTAAAGTTTCTAGATTCAGATGTCATAAAACAACTCAGTTCCTGAGTATGTAATAAAAAGTGGACACGAGCACATGTGAGACACTGCCACTCAGACCTGACAACCTATGATTTAAACAACCCCCAAATTACCACCATAATGTGCAAACCAGGTGATCAGATATGTTAAGGATGTATATTTATTCAGAATTTTGTTGTGTTTTTCAGGTACTTCAACACCAGTGACAATAATTTACAATACTGGGGCCTTGACTATCCACCTCTGACTGCTTATCATAGTCTGTTGTGTGCTTATGTGTAAGTTAATTTTGTTACCATTATGTAGCAGTTGTAACAAATAGCTTAAGTTCATCTTGTTTCCTACAAGAAAAAGAAAAATGCAGGTTGATTCAAAGGTGCTTTGCAAGCATGGGAGTTCTGAGGAACACACAGGTGTTCCACATCTGTGAATGAAACACCTTTATGCATGTATTTTTTTCAACAATGTGGCAAATAGGAAATATGATATTGACTGAAAATTATGTTACCCAGTTTTGATTGGGATCACATCTAGGATTATATGAATTATTATTATGGGCAGTATCAAGCTGTGTGATTCCAGTAATACAAATGACATTGCCATTTGGAACTGTGTGCAAGAAGAGAATAAAACTGAAGTTATGCTTGTACAAGCATGACATACGTTGTGTATTATACTTGTGCAACCCATAGGGCATCCTGTTGTGCATAATTCTGTGTAATATACTATGCATTCTATTTGTGCAACTCCTTGCACACCTTCTTGCACCAATTTCTCAGTAGAAGGATTCAGTGGAGCTTTATCACAATATTTGAGGTGACAGAATGACACTACTGAATATTGTTCTATGTTTAGAGTTTCGTTTTAATGTAACTATTTTTAAAACATGGCTTTCCAGTGAGATATGGTTAAATGACAAATAAGTTGACAGAAAATTTCTGAACAACTTTTACAAAATGCAAATATAGTAATCAAGTGCAGGTGCAACCAAAGCATCAGGGTGACCAAGTCATATTTCAGCTGGGGGATCTCCTGGCATGAAAAGTGCTGTAAGTTAACTAAAACTGGATTTGAAAGCAATACTTATGCTGTAAACCTGGTCTTTAAGTGGCAGTGTATCCCCTCCATAACTAGTCGAATGGTTCAGTGAACCATTGCAGTAATGTTGTGCTGCAATATATGAAAAGGAATTATGGTATTTTCAGTTCTCTTTCTTGCTGAACAGTGTTTAATTGCTATTGAATGCAGTAGAATGCTGAAAACTTTGATCCATTGTGTATCATCTGTCTTTTTAATAATCAATTGGTGACAACGGTCTACTTTTTAATGTTCTTAAACTTTGTTTTACAGTGCAAAGTTAATAAATCCAAGTTGGATTGCTCTGCACACATCGCAGGGGTATGAGAGTCAGTCTCACAAGTTATTCATGCGTGCATCAGGTAGCAAATTTTTTAACATAAGCTGAAAAGATTTTTAATCTAATTTTATGCTCTGCAGTACAAATAGTCTATGGAAGAGGTGTTTTTTCAAGTGCAAAATATACAGGGATCAAAGTAATGGTAATCTGCAGTGTCATTAAGCTCCCTACCCATAATGAAACTTAAGATTGCTAGAGGAATATAACAAGAATGATTGTTTATGGTATGGAATTAGGCTACATGGCTCTGAATGTGTTACCAGGGATAGTTGCAGCTTCCTATTATTTGGGATGAATTTGTTGCTGGGACCATTGTTAACAAGACCATTTTAAGATCCATTTGACTGGAAGGCCCAACCTTCCTTGTGATGGCTTTATTCTAAAAGGTGGCATAGGAATGTTAAAATAAATTAATTAAGGAATTATAGTAATAGCATGCCCATTTGTTATAAAAGTTTTGCTAATTCCTACAATATATGGGTAGACTTTAATAGCACTTAGATGTGTATAGCAGTTATTAACTATGGCTCTTTACTGAGGTAGAAGTTTGGACTGAACTGGTTTAGTTCTAAATTCTATTTTGATGCTTTTTTCAGCTAGAAGGTTAGGTTCTAAATGTATTTACATTTGTATGTTTCTAACTTTCAGGAAATAGTATATAGATAAATGCCTAAAGTTGGTTTTAAATAGGTTTTTTTAAGGTTATTTAGAGTTTTCAGAATTGCACTGTTATTTTCTGATTAGGTTTTAAATGTAACATTATGAGAAGATGTTATAATGAGGACTTTTTTAACAGTGAAGTAATGAAGATCTGTATCTTTTGGAATCACTGGAATGAAATAGATGATAATATACATGTGCAAAATCAAATACTGTGAATCAGTACTTTCATTATGATATAATAGTTTCTCCAAACCTCTCAAAATTTCTCAGTGTTCCTATATACCATAAAATTCAATGCTCACTTCCCTTTATAGCTTAACCAGATGGAAAAAAGAGAAAGCGATTGTTTTCACAAGCATATTAATTGGTACTTAATGTGGTGGTTAATGAAGAAAAATATAGACAGCAATGTCACAAGTTACTTACCTGACAGCCTAAATAACACGTCCATTAGTTTATGTCCAGTCTTCCTTTGCTTCACAGGACAGAGTGAAGTCCTGTAGAAATCCCTTAGGATGTTGTTGTTGATTACCCTGGGCAGAACCAGACACTCCTCCACACCACCTCTTGTGCTGGCCACAAACCTTTCCATCTGGCCTCTAGTAATTGATTATATTTTAAAAATCACTAGAATCAAATTACCCTTGAAATGGCCTTTAATAATGCTCAAATCAACACGCTTGACATACCGTTGATGTACCAACCAATATAATGGATAGACATTCTTTTAACAATAGCCATTAAAGTAGTGTATCAGGGTTACAAAATTCAGTACAGTTACATGTTGACCATTAGTTTTACACATTTTAGAAAATTCTCTTTGTGTGATGCATTCACAGCTAAAAGGCCTTGTCAAAGAAATTAGAATGTAGGAGACTCAGAGAACAATTGGAATCGTGTTTTGTCATTAAGTCCTGATGATTCTTGACACCACCCATTCCACAAGTAGGGTCTTTATTTGGCAAATGATATTTTGTCAATTTGTCTAATCTGGGAATATTATGATTTGAGCAAACCGAAGTTTGCCCACAAACCAGGGTGGCTTGCAGTTTTGTCTGAATAATCTTTGGGTCTTAGCCTTCTAAAACATCACATAAGCATATGAAACAAGGCAATGTTTCTTACTGGATCTACGCATCTCAGTAATTTGTATTCAAGTCAGTGCTTTTTAATTTGTCCATAAATAATTTGGGTTTAGGGAAGAGTAGGCAGGAAGCTATGTTTGCTGATGACACTAAATTATTTAGTGTAGTTAAAACAAAAAGGAACAGCTCCAAAAGTTTATCTCTGATGTGAGGAAATGGACATTAACATGACAAATGTGGTCCAATGTAGGCAAGTGTAAAGTGGTATACACTGAGGCAAAAAATCCAGTCTTCATGTTTATGCTGATCAAGTCTGAGGTGACCAAACAGAATCTTTAGGTTGTAATGGACATAGCCTGATAAAAGCATCAACCCAGCATGTATGGCTGCTGTGAAAAAGGTAAATTCTAGGTTTGGGTTCATCAGGAGATTAAGCTGAAATAAAACTGCAAGTAGTATGCTCTGGTCCAGCACAGCTACTTATACCTAGCGAAGACAGTTGATTTGCAAACTAGTTAACAACATGCCACTGGGTTAATAGCCCCCATCCCATCTTGTTGATTTTTTGTTTTTCTCCTTTTTTCTTTAACTTATGTACCCAAATAATAGAATTTTGTGTCATTTGGTTCTCCAGTATTTTAAACATTACTCGTGCCAATAAACTGATGCTCTACAAGTTAAAAGAAATGTCAAGGTTAACTTGTTGCAGCTTGGAGTTTTAGGCTTCAGTTCTGCAGAGTACTGAGCATTCAATCTTCAAATCCTATGTTTATTTAACCATTTAAAATCACATTTACTTCAATGGAATAGAAGCACTCTGTGTGCAATATTGCAGAGTTGGCTTTTAATTCACTAAATTCAGGCATATTTGGCTCATTTTTACATGTAACTGAAGGAAGTGAGTTAAAAAAGCAAGAAAGCAATCCATTAAAAGATTTCAAAATTGTTCCATGAGCAAGCAATTCATTTTTAGATGGGTATATGAACAATTCCTGGGATTACTACTTTAAACATGCCATAATACTTTTAAATATATTTCAGTGGACAGAGTAGTACTGGACTAATGTTCTTGTGGTTGTAACTGCTTAGTGACTTTTTAAAAACTCTTTTTAAAGAGTTCTCTGTTGTTCTGTAAGACCACAATTATTAAGCAGAATGGTCTAGAACTAGAATCAGGCCTACTATATGAAAAGTATGTGACTAATGCCTGAATTTCTGACACATAGTGTTTGGTCTTGGGTGACTTTTGTATTACAAAAAGTTCAAAAATTCATTTGATTCTTATATATATTTTGATCTTGCAGTTCTTGTTGCTGATTTGCTAATTTACATACCTGCAGTAATTTTGTATTGCTGCTGTTTGAGAGAGACCTCAACTAAAAACAAGGTTGGCTTTTTTTCTTTTTACATTTCTTTGTAAAATTGTTTTGTTCTTAGGTGGAATGCAGGGATGCTACAATATCAGATTATATGTTCTGCTTACAGACAGTTATTAATAATTAGTCCATTTAACATTTAAAAAGAGGAGTTACTAGAATCCCTCACAGGAACTGCTAGTAATGTATAAATTGGCTTATTTATACATGGGAATGGTGAAGGTGAAATATGTAGCATAATCCAAAGTATGTTTACTCAGATGTAAATCCCATTGAAAATATTCAGCAGTACCATGGTGCTAATGTTATAGATGCTGTGCAAGCATCAGTTTCCACTACCACAACATCAATAGTGCTAGTACCATGACACCATTTGCTCCCTCCCCTAAAGATCAGTAGAATTTAGTTCCACTTAATTGGATGGGATTATAGCTTTTGTTACTTATTCAACTTTTTTTCACTCACTTTTTGTTAAAATGCTCACAGCTGCATACTGCATAGTTAAATGTTAACATACAAAATAACAGATACAGTGGTACCTCGGCTCACGAACGCCTCAGTTCACAACCAAATCGGATCGCGAACAGAAATTTCAGGAAAATTTTTCCTCAGGTCGCGAACTCCGCATCGGGTGACGATCGTGATTGTGACCATCTTCCCTGCACGGGCAAGATCACAGTCATGCTTGGGGGGGAAATGGCTGCGATCGTGCCCGTCTCCCCCCAAGTATGCCCACGATCGCGCCTGTCTCCCACTCGAGTGCACCTGCGATCGTGCCCATCTTCCCTGTGATTAAAAAAAAATTACATTTAACCTTATGGGGAAATTTGACTTGGCTCACAACTAATTTGGGTTGCAACCAGAGTCGTGGAACAGATTAAATTTGTGAGCCAAGGTACCACTGTAGAAGAAAGGGTAGAAAAATGGCTAACAGTTTAATATGTAAGGGACATTTTTAAAAAATCACACCATGGCAGAAAGTTTGTTGAAGTGGGAGTAAAGGATTTTTCTGGATAGAGGGTGAAAAGAGTCCAGAGAAAGGCCTTTCCCAGGCTCTGACAAAATATACCAGTTTTAATATACACTATTAAGGGATGTAATTTGCATGGCAAAAGTATGAGAGCAGGATTGAACAATTCCTACTTATTTTATAAAATATACAGAAATTTTCACAAGATCAGTAAAAAAAGACACTGATAGTACAAATGTATCTGCTCAGATAGAAATCTGATTGAATTCACTGAGTAAGTGGTTATAAGTGTTGGCAAGAGGCGGACATCCTCTACAGTACATCTTAGAATCTTAGAATTACAGTAGATCTTAGAATAAGTTCATTGTGGTGAAGATAAAATTTTAGTTTTACTTGCACTTTAGACTTTGTTTTGTCCAAGACAAAGCAGGTCAGCATATCTTAATGTGGCTGGAGGTGTATGTACTGAACATATTTTCAGTTCATGCACCCACATTCCTAACATTCAGACATTTAAATATATTCTTGACCTAACTAAACTAATTGCATTTTGTACAGTAATAAAACATATATTGGTGCAGTAATACAGTGGACTTTAGCGTTACCTTACTTGCATCATTTTAGATGGCAGAAGTGAAATAGTTTGGCCTAAACTAGTCATATTTTTTTTTTCTAGGGCACAATAACCTATCACAAAATTAGCTGGGCTTTTTATATGTTAAATGTGTTTTTTAAATTTCTTTCTCAGATTTCTAGTTCTCTCTGCATATTGCTTTATCCAGGACTCATTCTGATTGACTATGGACACTTTCAGTATCCTTGTACCATTATAAGAAATCAGATCTTTACATATTACCAATGCAATTGATTCTCTAATATATAAATATTAATAAATAAGATCAATGAAAAAGACACTGATAGTGCAATCTGTGTCTACTCAGATGTAAATCTGATTGAATTCAATGAGTTGTAGGTATAGGATCTCAGCTTTAGGAACATATCTGTGCCCAGTTACCTGAGAATAAGCTCCACTGAATATAGTGCAACTTACTTCTGGGAAAGTATGTATCAGACTATGCTATTGCATGTGGGTTTATGGATTATGCATCTATAGTTATTACATAAACTAATGTTTTTTTCTTATGCAGAATGTGTTGCTTCATGTTCATTTAATGTGAAGTAACTGGGAATTCACTTGAATGAATTCTTCTAGATGACTGAAACACAAGTTATATGTATGAAACCACCATCACAGTTAAAGCACTACATACCATCTGGCATTGCCTCAAAATACAGCTCAGCTGGAGGCCATTTATAGGCTCTAGTGTGAGGTATCAGTCAATCTACATTTATTGCCATTTAAGAAAAACTGACCAAACTGCCCATCATCATGATAATTGCAGCTGGCCATGGACAGACCATGCATTTCAGGGTCTTTTAAAATGCAAGTTAGCAGTGTAGAAGCTACTGCATTGGCAATGCTTTGCTTGGAACTTTGGTAATAAAATAGTAAGAAAGATCATGTAAGAGGCAAAGTGATGAGTGATTATCAGTATTAGAGAATTCAGGATACAATCCAGGCAGTATTAAGTACTCTCAAGTTACATTGACTTCTTTGGAAGGACTATTAAGTATTGTTAAACTTTCATGCATAGGCAAATCAGTACTGGTAACAGCAGGAGGCCATATGAAGCACTGCTGTTATTTATTCTTTATAACCTAGCTCTCTATGAAATTTTATCCTTAACATAAAAACATATATAATTCTGTGAGCCTTGGTTTTGCATTGTGGGGAGTAATTTGTTTTTCTTATGATTTGGATATTTTGGGGTCAATTGCATTTTGTTTAGCCATAAACTACAAACAAATGGAGCTCTACCATTCTTTGCCCTTCTTCTGCTATCTGCTGGGAAAGTGCTTCAAAAAAGGCCTGATGGGGAAGGGGTGAGTATCTTTAAAATGGCCCTGGAATGCACTTAGGCAGACTTGCCTTGGGAATTTGTGCATGTCATTCATTTCTTGATTAAGCTTTTGGAGAAGGGATTCATGTCATTATAATTCTTTACTCTCCCTCCCCCAGTAGAAAATGTTTTGCCTAAGTCATTAAATAACATACTAAATAGTTTTAAGAGTGTCCATCGTGTATCAAAATACACACAACTATCTTTTCTCTTCAACACCTGTCATTAGTTAAGCACAGGTCACAAATGGACAACCAGATTTAGAAGATAAGAGTTTTGCATTTTTAACTTAAAACTATATATATATTACAGTTTCCTTATCCCTGATCTCGTCTGCTGGTAGATTCCCCACTTTAGATTATCTATTCAAATTGGTTTCAAATTTGAAAGTGCAGAAACATTTCTTATTTTCTTTTATGTTATCTCTTATTTTTCTTGTTCAATGCATGGATTAATATATTCTTTTTCTTACAGGTTCTTTTTGTTAATGAAACTGGGGGTTACTGTAGTTGTTTCTTTTGCTCTTTGTTGGCTCCCGTTTTGTACAGATGTCAAACATATTTTGCAAGTGCTCAGAAGACTCTTTCCAGTTGATCGAGGGCTGTTTGAGGTATGCCTCATGCCCCCCTTCACACACACACCAAGCTTCTTGTAAATGTTTTATATTTTTAGCTCCCTTGAGAAACCTTCACTTTGACCCTTAGGGATTTCATGTGGAAGATACACCAGAAGGGTAGTAATATGATCTCGCTTCTCTGACCATCATATCTTGCCAGTTATTTAATCCAGTGTTTAACCCCTAGCTCAGCTGGCATCTTCCAGGATATTATACAAATAGACAACATTTATCCCATCGTCAGATCTATAGTTCAGACACACATTTTTCCATTCAAATAAATTCCATAGTAATTAACAATGTCCTTGCACAATATTATCTAAAGGATCTAAAACATGAATTAAATCCATTCTAGGTTTTCTTGTTTCTATTCCAGAATATTCATTGGCTTAATGCATGAATGTTATATGCTTGAAAAGACATTAAGAGCCCTGATTTGCTAAGCTGGAAAGCTACACTTTGCTTTGTTGAAGGTGTTAAGCATAAAGTAGATGGTTTTATTATGGAGATAACATTTATTAACTGGTTTGCACTGGAGAGAGAGAACTAGAGATTTAACTCTGCAGCAGAATTGCTTTGGAAAACTGCTAACATCCACAACAGCAGTACTGGTGCATTTGGAAGAAAAAAAATTGAGATCTTATTCCCCACTTGCATGTTACAAAATTGCATAAAGTGTGCTGTATATAGAAATTCACAAGCCAAAGAACTGTCATCTTCTTTGGTTTGTTTACAGTGTCGGCCTGTTTTTACCTATTGCTAGGCTTTAGTGAGGTTAATCTATGTTTTATAAGATCACATCCTTTCCCCACATCGTTACACATGTGGGTTTAATGTTAAATGAAGTATTTTAGGAGCTAGTAGAGGAACAACTTATTTGGATATTAAGCCAAATAACTATGTAAGCAATACACAGTAAGTTTAGACTGGTGTTCCTGTTGCAGGTTCTTTGCATTGGTTCCCATTTACAAATGCTGATAGTTGTAAAACTTGGTGGTTATTGGGAAGGCATCTTCTGTGCTCGTGCATGCTGCCAGGCACTTGTCACCTCCAGCAAATTTGCAGTGTGTGTTCTGTATGCTTGTAAGTGAATAGGGAGGAGTAGCTCAGTTGTTGGTTGTAGCTTTCTTGCTGTTATGTCTACACAGCTGTGATTGAAGCAGCTGTTTAGGGATGAGTTTCATGAGCATGCTAGCTGTGCGGTTACAAATTTAATTTGGAAAGTGATCCTAGCACAACTGCTAATGTCTTTAGACTTCTTGATTTATTAGGGGTTAACTCTGTCACTGCTAGCAACTAGTAAGCTGAGCTAAATATGTTCTAGTAACAGAATAGTGGCAAAGTATAGTGTGGTTTTGCATGTGGAGAAAAGTTTCATCTTTATCTTAAAAAAGCCCCAACCTGATAATGTCAATTTGTGATTTTTATAACATTCATGATCTATGGGTTCCTTTTTTCAAAAATACAGTTACTGTTAATTGAAGATTTGTCTTAATCCAATGTTGTCCATGATTTTGAATCAGGGTCATACTGATGCATTTCATCTCAGATTCAGATATTCATCCATGTGAAAGGCTTCTACCATTCAACTAATAATGCCCACTGCTGCCACCACAAAAAAATAATGCATTATGTTAAATATATTTTCAGGATAAAGTAGCCAATATTTGGTGTACTATAAGTGTCATTTTCAAGATAAAGGCAGCTCTGTCAGCAGAAACCCAACTTAAACTAAGGTAAGTGAGAGCAAGAGAACCTGAACTGCATGCCTGAAAGAATTGCAACAGAGTATTTTAAAATAATGTAAATATTCAAATTCTGTATAGAAATATGATTTAAATACTTGGTGTTTCATACAGCTGCTGTTTATTTAAGAGTTTGTGAGTATAAATCAGCAACTTTAATTCTCTTCAGTAAATGTGAAAGTTTATATATACCAGCTATTCCTAAATAATTCAAGTCTGATTCAGCCTTGTTCAGGTCTTTGAGAAGGTGAACTCAGTGTCATTGAAATCAATATTTTAATAAAATTGTTAAATTATTTTATTTTAGCTTTGTTTTAACATTCCTGACCATACTTCCCAGTTGCATTAAACTTGCTCTCCAACCTTCTCTCAAAGGATTTAAATATGGCTTGGTAAGTATATGACAGAAATTCTACATTTAAAGTTTGTAAGTTTTGAAATAAATATAAAATTTACCTTTCTTTAAATTATTTTGAAATTTATTTTAAAATTATAAATTAAATTTATTGTATGTTTAAATTACAAATATATATGTATTTATCTGTCTTTCTTCATCCTTATTATTCTGGATAGAAAGAGGTGGGGAGGGGAGGAAAATTAAAAAATAGAGTAAAGGAAGGGCAGTTACTAACAATTATTAGAGACTCAGTCTATATGACTCAAAATATCTAACCCTCTTAATGAAGTGATTCAAAAGATGCCTGTCTTCTGAGTTGCCAGAGGTGCTCCATCTCAGGATGGAGCTGTCTGTCTTCTTTTTTTCCTTCTCTGTATAGCAAAGCAACATGATGTGGCATGTCCTCAATCTTTATAGTTGAAACCATTCTTCCATCAGAATTACCTTAAGGCTCTTTGGTTACTGTATTCTTCCTACATGGATTTCTTTAAGTTTGGTCACTTAAAAAAAAGGGATAGAGATGATGTTGAAGCCACATAGCATACACAGAACAAGCGGAATATGTATTTAGAATAATCTTTTAAATATGGAATGGGGCCTTGTAAGCCACTTAGTTCAACTTCCTGCTCAGTAACAGGAAATTAGGAGTTACAGCATACCTAGCAGATGGTTGTTTCAACTTCTGCCTAGAGACTTCCAGTGAGGGCCAGCCAACCACTTCTCTCAGTAATTGTTTTCAGTGTTCAACTACTCTTTCCATCAGTACGTTTTGCCTAATGTTCAGTCCAAATCTACCCTTCCTTAATTAAGCTCACTAAATCTAGAACACAGCCTTGTCCAGTTTTATTGGATAAGTTTAAGTTGGTACAGCTTAAGGATGTTGACAAGATGCTTGGACAGGTTCATGCAACCACCTCTGTACTGGATCCTTGCCCCTCCTGGCTTACAACATTCAGTAAGGAAGGAACATCCAGTTGGACCAGGGAGATGATTAATGCCTTCTTGCAAGAGGGAGTGGTCCCATGCTGCCTTGAGGAGGCGATGGTGAGACCACTTCTGAAGGTATCTTCCCTTGACCTAGAAGACTTTAATAACTTTGGGCCAGTGGCTAGTATCCATTTCCTGGGCAAGGTTCAAATGAGGGTGGTTGTCAATCAACTCCAGACACTCATGGATGAGACTGATTATTTGGATCCTTTTCAGTTGGGGTTCAGGCCTGGTTTTCACACAGAAACAGCCTTGGTCCCCTGTATGATTATCTGTGCTGTTGATACTTCTGAACCTTTCAGTGGCTTTTGATACCACAGATGATGGTATCCATCTGGGGCAACTCTCTGACTTTGGCATAGGAGACACTGCATTGTATGGTTCTGCTTCTTCTTGGAGAGCCATCCCCAGAAGGTAGTGCTTGGAGAATATTATTCAACCCCTTAGATCTGTCACCATGGAGTTCCTCAGGGATCTGTTCTGTCCACCATGCTATTTAACATCTACATGAAACTGCTGAGTGGGGTCATTGAGAGTTTTGCAGTGCATTGCCATCAGTATGCTTATTGCACACAGCTCTCTTTCTCCTATTCATCATCCGCAGGTGAGGCTGTGGATGTATTAAACCAGTATCTGGCTGCAACATTGGACTGGATGAGGGTTAAAAAACTGAAACTCAGACCAAACAAGACTGAGATGCATTTGGTGGGTGGTTCCTTTGATGGGATGGAGGGTATTCAACTTGCGTTCCCCCTGAAGGAGCAGGTTCCTAGCTTGGGTGGGCTTCTTCATCCATTTTTGCCACTTGACGCTTAGCTGGCCTCAGTGGCTCTGAGTGCCTTCTATCAGCTTCAGCCAGTGGCATAGCTGTGCCCCTATCTGGACAGGGTTTGCTTGGCTTCAGTAATCTGTGTTACGGTAATCTATTACTGCAATGCATCCTATGAAGAGACAGTGCAGAAACTGCAGCTTGTGCAAAATACGGCAGGCAGATTAGTAACCAGGACTCATAGGTCCAAACATATAAGACTGGGTCCAGCATATTTGCATTGGTTGTCTGTTTGCTTCCTGGCTCGACTCAAGGTGGATTTAACCTATATTGTCTTACATGGCTTGGGACTGCAGTAACTGTTGGGGTGCCTGTCCCAACCATGATCTCCTTGGACACTATGCTCAACCTCTAGAGCCTTCCTCTGAGTGCCAACCTCAAGGAAAGTTTGGTTGGTTGCAACAAGGACTTGTTCTGTGGTGCCCCTTGTCTTTGGAACAGCTTTCTCACTGTGGTCCACCTGGCATCAAAATTGTCATCTTTTTGGTACCAGGTTAAGATAGCTCTTTTCCAAGGCCTCGAAAGACTTACCTGGCCAGCCAGATGCTAGAGGGGATTACCCATCACAGGTGTTTTATGGAGTCATTCTTTGTTACGCTTTGTTTTAACTGTTTTTAACTTTTTAATGTTATGTCTGCTTTTAGTATCTTTTTATTGTCTGTTTGATGTATTGTAAATCACCCAGACAGTTTTGGCTGTGGAGCAGTATAGGAATGAAATGAATCATCATCATCATCTAGTCCTGCCCTCTGGGACAGCACAGAACAACCTTTTTGCTATCATATCCCTCTTCAGTCTATTCTTCTCCAGGTTAAATATCCTCAGTTCTTTATCTGTAGGACTTGTTTTCACTACCCCAAATAGCTTTCATTGTTTTCCTCTGAACCTACTACATTTAAGTACACTGGTACCTCAGTTCATGAACTTAATTCATTCCATGATTCTGGTCGTGAACCGAATTGGTTATGAACCAAGTCAAATTTCCCCATAAGGTTCAATATAAATAAGTTTAATCCGTTCTGAACCATATGTAATTTTTTTAAACTACAAAAATATGAAACAAAGTACAATGCAGTACAGTATGAAGAGAGAGAACACTAACCTTGCTTGAGGCGACTTCTGGTATGGAGAACAGGAAGGTGGGTGGGGAGGAGGTTATTGTTTGGAGAGTGAGTCTGTGACCGCGATCTCAACCACATGTCAGAGCGGGGAAGATGGCCACGTTCGTGTTCATGTGGGGAAGATGGCCGTGATCATGTTCATCACCTGATGTGAAGTTCATGAACAGAAGCAAAATTTTGCCAAACTTTCTGTTCATGAACCAAATTGTTCGCTAACAGAAGTGTTTGTGAACCAAGGTATTACTGTAAACAAGCATAGAAAGAAGGTTGCATAATAAGGTTGCTTACCAGTAACTGTTCTTTGAGTGACCACCTGCATATTTACATATATGGGTGCTGCACCTGTGCAGTGCCTCCGTTCAGGAATATTCTCCTAGCTAAGCCTAGAATTTTTGGTGGAAGCCCTGCCTTCTCCCTTTTTAGTATAAATAGGCGGGGCTCATGCCATTTGCTCAGTCTTTATGGAGACCAATGTTTGTCCTGTTACAATTTCTAATTAAAAATTTAAAACATTGCATACAGTATCTTTGTGGATCTTGTAGGCAGCTGTGAAAAACCTAGCATAACAAACTATGAGCTACACATTGGTGCCTATAAGAAGCTTCCTGGCAACCTCAGGATCAGATCTGTCTGGCCACCTTCTAAACAGGTGGGAAATAAACTTGGCACATATTTCTAGATAAAACCAGCAGTAAAAAATAACATGTTCAATTGTTTCAAGCTCTCCAACACCACAAAGGCAAACCCTCTCTGCCATTGGCATCTTGCAATATTTCTCCTCCAAGACCACAGAGGGGAGTGCTCGCCATCTTTGCAAGAAAGAAGACCCTTTGAAAAGTGGGATATATTCAAGAGTGATAAATAAGGTGCTGTGGAAACAAAGTTTCTGGTGTTCTCCCATGCCAGAAAATTTGGTATTCTCCTGATGTCACATTGCTGCTCAGTATCTAACACTCTCTGTTTAGTAATTGCTGTTGCCTGATCTAGTCCCATCACTAAAAGAGTCCGTGGCGAGACTTCTACAGATGTGAATTTTAGGAGGATTGCAGATAGGCAGGACAATTGAAAACAGTCCTGAAGGGTTAATGAAGTGAGTCTTTGGGGGCAATAGTTTAATCTAAGCCAGAATGCAATAGAGGAGAGGCTTACCCTAGCCTCTATTTTAATCAGTCCTGATTCTAGGCACATACCAGCATTAGAAACGCAGCTAGGCATACGAAAAATTGCCCATAGAAATTTTGATTGAACTTTTTCTAATGGGGCAAAACTAGAGGATATTGGGCCTTAGAGAGTCTCATAGAGGAGTTGTGGTAATATTTTGGCCTGAAAAAGTTTGATAGCAGCAGGGCTATACTATCCTCCATTGGTACAGAAAAATCTTACTATAGTCTGAGCCAATCTTTGGGCCAGCATGGCCACATATTCACGGTGGGCATTCCTTGTTCCTGAGGCTTGCAACAGCACCCCTAAATGCTTAAAGCATGTAACTTGCTCTACTCTATGTCCATTGACACTCCAGACCCTGATTTTGGGTCTTTTCCCAAAGGTCATAATCTTAGTTTTTTGATAGTTGATCTCCAGCATGTTCTCGTTACAAAAGAGACTAAATGCCTGCAGAGCCCTCCTAAGACCTACAGCAGTTCTGGAAAGTAACATGATGTCATCGGCACATAGGACTGCAGGAATCTTTCTTTCTGCTAGCTTGGGGAAGAGTATGTTGAGATTATTTAGCCATTTAATTACATCATTAATGTAAAAGGTGAATAGCAGTGGTGCCAGTACACATCCTTGTTTCACGCCTTTTTAAGTTCTGATAGAATCAGTGAGATGGCCCATCTTAATACATCTAACTTTCAAAGAATTTTAATTTATCTAACAAATGGCTGGCATAGAGTTTGCCAATCAGGCTGAGCAGGCTGATTGGTCTGTAGTTAGCTGGATCATTCCTCTTCCCTTTCTTGAAAATTGATATTATAATTGCCTGTCATAATTCCTTTGGAATATGCTCAGAGTGGTCAATGTATGTAAACAGTGAAGCCAAAAAGGGTGCCCACCAGTCAATGTTATTTTTCAGAAGTTCTGGTGGAATGTTACCAATACCTGGGGCTTTTCCTCACATACGTTGGTCAATCAGAGACTTGATTTCTTTAGTGGAAATTGGAGGCCATTCAGGAAAGTCCGCTAAGATCTGTAAAAGGAGTTTGTAAACACTTTTGGCATATATCTTCCTAAATTGTGTTTCCCAGATAGCAGGTCCAATTATAGAATCTAGAGAAGAATGCAACATGTAATTTGCTTCTAAATCATTGTTTAAAATCTGGGGCCAAGACAGAAGGCACTTAAAGGACTATGATCCATAGGTGGACTTGTTAGGAGCCTGGCACAGTGCAGTTGCCTCTAAAGTATCCCAGATTTCTTGAGATGGCATCAGTGTTGTATTTATGTGCTGTCAAGTCATCTCCAACTTATGTCATCTCCAAAATGTCCTATCCATGACATCCCTGCTTAGCTGTTCTAAATTCAAGGCTGTGGCTTCCTTTATGGAGTCAGTCCATCTCTTCTTTCATCTTTTCTTCTGCTTTGGCTTTCACTAGCAGATGGCATCAGTAGGACTTATAAACCAAATTGTTAATATTGCAGATGCAGAAAGGGAAGCCACATCACTGTCTTCATAGAGGCCTATTTTGAATCTCTGTCACCGCATATTGGTGTCCTGAACACTCTGTTGCCTTGCATATGACCTATGCTAAACACAGAAACAGCCAATCAGATAATAAAGGCATCCTTGTTTCTTCTTCGTGGTCTCTGTGCATCACACATCTGGGTGCTGTGCCTGTGTAGTGTCTAAGTTTGGGAAGATTCTCCTAGCATAACATTTTTGGCGGGACCCCTGCCTGTTTGCACTAGGAATGAAAGGGTTCACTTTCAACTGCTGTCGTTCACTGTGATATGGGTCTCTCCTAGCTTCAACTTTACTGCAGTTTTTCAGTCTCACCATCTTACAACTTCATGAAATTTCTTTGACCTTTTATACCCCTTTCAACTTTATTCCTCCCTTATACTTCTCTTCTAATATTCCCCCTCAAAAAGAAAAAAAAAAGTACATTGTCACTCTTATCCTATTCTTCTACCATTTTACCTCAACTTTGTTCTCTTTCTTTGCTCGATGGCTCAGAGACCAGCTTTCCAAAAGTATACAAATTGTGGTGTCAAAATGCTGTGTACCGATGGCCACTCACTTTGCCTTTTATGCCTCAGTGAGGGACACCATGTTGTTAAGTGTCCTCACAGCCGGGTCTTTATGAAGCAGGTCAAGAAGAACAGAGAAGGCTGCTTTAAAATGAAGCTTTGGGACAGGGCTCTCAAGGCTGAAAAATTCACAAGTTTTTTGATGATTTAAATACACAAGTTTTGAGATTTATATGGCAAAAGAAGAAATCAAGGATTGAGTTAAAAATGCTCCAGGAGGCTAAAGGGAATGGGGGCTTTGGTCTTCCTGACTGATTGTTGTGTTATCAAGCATGTGTTTTAATGTGGTTAAAAGAATGGATAACATTAAGAAACAAAAGAATTTTATATCTTGAAGGACATGATTTACAAATGGGATGACATGCTTTTATGTGGTAGGAGAAATGTAAGACACACAGTTACTTTCTAAACTATTATATTAGGAATTCATTGATGTTGGTCTTGGAAAAATTAAAGATAAAACTTTATACTTAAGATGCCGAGATGGCTTTCTCCTATGGAAGACCTTGTATATCCAAATGCATTGAACTTTAACATGATTGTGAGGTATAATGATATCTTAGGTAATGGTGGAAAACTGAAACCAAATCAAGAACAGGGTATTGATCTTTCTTGGTGGCAACAGGTACAAATACAATCAAGACATGCTAAAGATTATAGAATGTATGGTTTTTATAAAGAACAAACAATGGTTGACCAAGTAGTTTTAAAATCAGATGAAAAAATGATTAAAATATTATATAATTTTCTTTTGCATATGAAAATGGAAGATGAACAAGTTAAGAAAACTATGATTAACATGGGCACAAAATTTTGGATATAGTATTGAGCTCCAGAAATGTCGAAAGTTGTGGGAAAGAAATATTAAGATAAATTTAGCAACTTCATATAAAGAAACTCTTTATAAAATTTTCTATAGCTGATCCATAGCTTCTAATAGATCCTTTATGGTTAATAAAGTATCATTAGCAAATAAGCTGATCTTAATCTCATTTTTGAAGCATATACCTTTTATTATATTATCATTCCCAGCACTATTTGCTAATAACTCTATGACTAACACAACAGTATTGGAGAAACAGGACATCCTTGTCTAGTACCTAGGGAGTATTTGTTCTGTTATGCCATCATTTACTATTACATTTGCTACATAAGCTGAATATAGTTGTTCAATTACGACTTTAAATGGTTTCCAAATCCTGATGCTTCTTTATTATCTTTCTTGTTGGCCATTCCACACAATCAAAAACTTCAAAAATTTCTAGGGATATTATACCAGCTTTGAATTCCCCACTACCTATTAACTCTAATACAGTCAACACTCTTCTGGTAAGATCTGCCATCTATCTCCCTGCTATAAAGCCACTTTGATCTGTTTTAAAATATTTATAAATAAATTCATTCTATTCGCCAATATTGCTGTAATTTTTTTTGAGTTTCAGTTTATCAGTAATATAGGAGTATAAGACCCTGAGTCAATAAAATCTTTATTAGGCTTAGGAATCAAAACTATTCTAGAACATTTCTAAGATGCTGGCACATTTCCTCCTCTTAGTATTTTATTAAACAGAGCTTTAATTTTTTGCATTAATTAAAAAAACTTTTAGTATTCAAGTCCTAATCCATCCATCCCAAGAGATTTTCCTATTTTCAGCTTATTAATACTTTCTTCTATTTCTTCCTCTTGATTGTTTGTTCCATTATATCTATCTGTTGTAGCTTTTCTTCAATATTTTTCTATATACGATCTAACGTTGTCTAATGATAATTCTCCCCCAGTATATAATTTTGAAAAAAAAATCCTAATTTATCTCATTGGATTGCACTTTTCCCGTTTTTGTCCCTAACTACTCCATTTTTTAAACTTCTTTTGTTGTGTGGAATTGGCCAACATCCTTGAACTCTTATTACTAAATTCAAAATAATCCCTTTTCAAATATATTAAGTTTCTTGGTACTTTTTCAACTTCTACATTTTCTATCTTTTAGCTTGTATTTCCACTAGGATTCTTAAATCTCTCTTTTGTAGACACTCTATTTAAAAAGAGAAAACACATTCATATGATACAGAGGAATCCCTTAACTCCAGGTGTGAACATGTTGTGCCCAGATGCCCAGAATTGCCTCTGCTCTGTGACCATGTGTTTATGCAGTGATTACAAGAAGTAAATAGATGCAGATCTGAATTAGGACTTGTCTAAGAAATCAGTTCTTGAAATCCTGAAATATTAATTTTGAGAACCAGCAGCACTTTTGTATGCTCCATGTTTAAGATGACAGCATTCTGGATTTCTGTACTGTTATGTGGAAAATATTAAATTCTAAATATAATTTTCATGCTAATCCTGTACTGACTTAAGCCATATATAAATCAGAAATAAAGTTATATATAAACTATGTCTATATAGTTTATATAGTTTATACAGAAAAGCTCTCAAATGTGATGTTAAAATAATAAAATTTAGGTGTTATAAATTGGCATTAACTACCTAGAGCCTTTTGAATATGGCATGATATAAACAGTTTCTTGCTTCAAACATTTTTAATGGTCAGATTTCTGGAACATACTGTTATTTTTAGGGTAATAAACTTTGTGTACTGACTATTGCTTTTCACAGTATATGCAGAATTAAATACATTGGTTACTGTTGCTGAATAGTATTTTTACATGGTCCGGTCAATGGACATACAGCAGCTCTTGTGTTAAGCATTAATACTTGTTAACATTCTTTTTAAAGGTCAGCTGTGCATTATCTTTCTTCCTGTTCTCATTCCAAGTGCATGAAAAATCTATTCTTCTAGTTTCAATGTAAGTAGTAATTTATACTTAGAAGATATTTTACACCTTTATCTGGAAGTATCTGGATCTGCAATGGAGCATCAGCTCTGGAGCAGAATAAAGTACATTTTGCACCAAGACTGGTGCAGTCTGTAAACTGTAGAGTTCTTGCTTTCTTTACACCAAGCATGTGAAAGTAGCATCAGGAATGCTGGCATTGGAAAGGAAGCTGCTCTAAAATTGGCCAGTATGCAGTAGAGATGTTGCTGGTATTTCAGAGTGTGGAGCTGTGAGAAGCCAGGTTCATGCATCATAATGCTGTCAAGTCTTTTGGAATTTACTTGTGACTGAAGAACAGTTCTTGACTCAATATGACCACCTACAGATTCCCCATTATGTGAGCTTCATGTGAAGCCCTCCGGTACTTACTTTCAGTCATTTTTTTGATGATCCTTGCCAAGTACTTTTATGATACTCTAGAAATTATCTTGTAGCAATTAGTGGGACCTGGAAATTTGCAGTGTGGAGTGCACCTGTTCATTGTGCCAACCAGCCAAGACTTCTAGGATACACCATTCCAATTTTCCCACCCTGTTTAGCTGTCTGCAACAGGTGACTCAGCTTTCTGAGGTGAATAAGCATGCTCAGCTCTTTGGGCTGTTTTGGGGACTTGCTGCAAAGTTTGAGAAAGCTTCCTTGTGTTTCTCAGTAGCCCCAGCAGCTATAGTACTGATGACACACACCAGCTGTGTTTACTATTACTGTCTATGGTTATTTGGGTAGAAAAGTGACTCTTGTGATTTCAGGCAAGATGTGCAAATCACAACCCAGTTACTGCATTGCCCTACATGTTGTTGCCCATTATACTGAAAGTGTACTGTAGCAACTCTGAAGGTAAGTAATTAAAACAGTACTTTGATAATTCTTGTTTTTCTATTTTCTCCTTAGACCAGTTTGCTTAGTTATAAATGAAATTCCTTTTATGTCTACATGGTTTCTACTTGTTTCCACCTTCAGGTAAGTCATTCAAACTTAGGTCCATTCAAACTGAAGACTTTTAAAGCATACCCTCCATTGTTAAATGTAGGGTAGGTAACTTTGATAGCACACACATTAATTTAGATGTGTCTCTCAACAGCATGCTTCCCCTTCTCCTTAAGGATGGCTTGCTCTTGGCTTACATTGTGACAACACTGGCCTTTCTCACAGTGTGTGCAGCTTCATTTTCAATATTTGAAAAGACTTCTGAAGAGGATCTGCAGCTAAAAAGACTTTCCACTTCAATTAGAAGATACTTACCTTGGTTCAAGAACTTACCAAAGGTTATGAAGAATTTAGTAAGTAATACTTATAAAAATTTTGTTCTGTGTCTATTAATTTGGCTATAGGGCACATATATACTTACTTTTGTTTGCAAGTTTAAATTACGTATAACCCATCATACATAGTTGTCAAGCTCCCTAATGACACTGGTGCTATGAATTCCACAGAGTAGAAATGCCACTGCTGAAGAAACTTGCTGGAACATTAGCATTTAAAGCAGTTTGGTCATCATCTGACACTTCATAATTATAACCTCCTCCTTCATGCTCTCTGTGCATCACACATACAGGCTTTGTACCTGCATGGAGCCTGTTGCCAGGAAGATTCAAGGGCAAACAGCATTTTGGAGGGAAACCTTCCTCCACCCTGGTGTCTACATGAAAGGGAGGAGCTCCTGCCATTTCCCTCAGTGCCTTTGGTCAACTGCCTTTGGTCCATCAGGAAATTCTCTCACTATTCTTTCTCTTCAGAGTGTTTTCCCCCACAAAATTTGGAGTTTCTTTCTTTCATTTCTCCCTCATATCAGATCCCTTAAACATACAAAAAGAAATAAATTTTCCATTTTCCCCGAACTTCTTCTCTTTATCTCTTCTAGTTGCCTTTGTTTCCACCTTTTCAAGTTGGTATCAAAGACACTCTTCCATAAATGCATTCATTCTGGTGCTAGGCTGCCTCTGCCTGATGGGCATTCCTTGCTGCCTTTTCTGCCTGGGCAAAGGACATGCTGTGGATCAGTGTGCACATGGCCAGGCGTTTATGAAAGAGGCTCCTAAACAAAGGGGCCCATCCTCTCTGCGCAGATGTATGGAACGAGACTGTCCACACGGTCGATATCTTAGGCTTGCCTGATTATTCTTGCCCAGTTATGGTGGCCTCTATCCCATCTGGAGGGTCCATGTTGTCCACCATAGCCACTGCAACTTCAACTCTCTCCATGCTTCCTTTGCTGCCCCCAACACCAGAAAAGGCAGCTAAGTTTTAAATTGCCATGAAACTGGCTAAATGGGCCAAAGGAATGGAGACTAAGTACCCTTTGATCCTGAACTCCAAATAGTACTGGATGGATTCACAACTGGTACCATCCATCTTGGAGCCACCCATGATAGCACTATTTTTGTACCAAGGTCTGCACCTGTACCAAGACCTGAACCTGTCTCGGCATCTGTGTTGGACAGTAAAATCAGGGATCTTGGATCTCCCATTGGCCACGGTTTCAAAAGTGCATGTGATACCATCTCCAGCTTGAGTTTTACTGGATCTGTTTGGTACGGAGGACCGCAGGAAATGTTCTCACTCCCCAGCTTCAGTCAGGTTTGCCGGTAACACAATCATACCAGTGTTTCTTTGATTGGGCCCTATCATGAGGGCTCCATGTATGATTCCCAGTACCAACCAATGTATCATCTTGATATTTTGGGGAGTGCAGACAAGTTGCTGAACCACCAGCTTTCCATCACCACCAAAACCCCAACCTGCTTTGTCAACCATGAAATTTTGTCACCCAGCAGAGCCATCTGTGCTGCTTTGCCATTCCAGTTTTCCTGCACCACCTCCTTCCAACCTGTCTTCACTGTTGGATATCAAGGGCTATGAGTCCAATTAGGCCACCTCACCATCAGTACAGCCCAGGTCCTCTTCTCCAGATGCGGCTGTAGCTAATGGGCATAACACCTCATCATTGAACTTCGCCAAGCAAATCCAACAACTTTGCTAAGCAAATCCAGCAAATGGCTCATACCCTTGGATCCAGACACCGCTGTCACCAGAGAAAATATTTGGCCCAGTCTTTGATGATGTTTAGACTAAAGAATCAATGCCAGTCACCATCCCCTTTCTCCCAACTGTCCTACAGACTGTCCAGCAGTCCTGGAAGGCTCTTTCAGTGGCTCCAATGTTGAAATGGTTGGAGGGAATGTATTGTGTGCAGGAGAAGCACATGGCCTTCCTCTTCCAGCACCCTAAGCAGAACTTGGTGGTGGTTGAATCTGTGCAAGGGAGATTGAGTTGCCAGTACTCTACCCTCTCTGATAATGAGGGACATCATCTGGACACTCTGGAAAGGTGTATCTATGGGACCAAAGGTAGGGAACTACCAGGTTACCATGGTGAGGTACCAGCTGTTTTTGTGGGAGAAGCTGGGCGCTCTGCAATTACCTACCAGAACAACAGCAGGACCTCACCAGGGTGTTTCCAGAATGAGGTGGTATGCCTCTCCAGGATCCAAATAAATGCTGTGAGACATCAAATGGATTGTGGGGCAAAGGTTAAGATTGGCATGGTGGTGCTATGGATGTACATGTGGCTGTGCTCATCTGGTCTGACACAGGAAGCTTGCTCCTGCATCTAGGACCTGCCCTTTGACAGGGATGGACTTTTCAGTGCCCTGACAGATGAGCACATGGACTCTATTTATAAAGCATGGACCACAGCAAAGTAAATGCAGTTCTTCCAATACCCCACTTCTAGTCCACGTAAGTGGAACTGACAGGGAATGTCTTCCTTCCCCCATCTCAAATAGACAGGGCACAATACCATCCACCAGTGCCCTTTAAGTGGAAGGACAATGTTTCCCAGGGACAAAGATGAGTTGATAGGAACAAAAGCAGGAGTGATGACTGATTCCTAGGGCTGGTCCCTTGCCTCCTCCCTCACCAGTTTGTCTCTCTCCTACTTGCCTGCATGGCAGGTGATTACTTTGGATAGTTAGGTGCTTTAGATCATCCAAAGAGGTTAAAAGATTGAATTTGATACCCTCCCACCCATCAGTACCATGTCAGCACCACCAGTTCTATTGGAGAAGATTCACTCTTTCCTATGAAAAAGGGTGATTCAGCAGAGCCCCACTCTGTTTGCTCAACCTGGGTTATTTTCATGTTATTTCATGATACTGAAACAAGATGGAGGGCATTCTCCCCTAATCCAGTGAGACATTCCAATTTTCAATTCTATCCTTTGGACTTAAGTCTTCAGGGTCTTCATAAAATGTATGTCCATGGTATGTGCTCACCTTCTTCTACAAGAGGTCCAAGTATATCCATATCTGGGTGACTGGGTGTTAGTGGTAGCATATCTCAGAATCCAGAGAAGCAGCATTGATCAAGACAGCCTCCAAACCCCATCAGCAACATGTAGTGTTGGTCCACCAGATTCAGTGGCTTCTTGGTCTCATAGCAGCAACTGTTGCAATCCTTCCTTTTGCCGGGGACCAGATACAACTGCTCCAGCTGTGGTTTGCCCACTTCTTCAATCCAGTGGTTAACTACCCAGGAACGCATTTCCAGATGCCTGCTACAGTCTGTTCCAACTTTGCCTGATGGACCCGACACAACAACCTTTGTAAAGGACTGGTCCCAAGCCATCATTTACAGTAATGATGGAGGCATCCCTGCTCAGTTGGGGAACCCACTGTGGCTCACTACAAATGCTGGGAACACGTAATGAATCGGAAGCCTGCAAGCTTATAAATTGTCTCATACAGCTTACAGAAGTATGAGACAATTTATGGTGTTCCAGACTTTCTTGCCAGGACACCACATACAAGTTGCTACAGACAATACCACAGCGGTGTTTCACATCAACAAGCAGGGAGGCACCAGGTTGATTTTGTTAACGCAGCTAGGAATTCAGATCTGGTACTGGTTTGTCAACCAGTGTATAACCCTAATGCCATTCACATTGCTGGGTCTGACAACAGCTTAGCGGACTCCGTGAGCAGGAGAGTCTTGACATCCATGAGTGGCAAATGGAATCAGACTCTGCATGAGATCCTGGGAACTTGGTCAGATCTTTTTGCCACTCGGGATAATGCTGTGAAAGCTTCTGCTCTCAGGCAAGAGAGGGCATGTGTTCTCTGGAAAAAGTGTTCCTGCTACACTGGATGGGGAACCTTGTTTTATCTTTCCTCTCAATTTCCTCTGATAATGTGAGTATTAGGGAAGGTTCAGCAGGATGCCTTGACTGCATCATGCCCATCCCCTGATGGCCAAGAAAGCCTTGGTTTACCCAACTTCTGAACATACCTGAGAGAAACCACATCTAACTTCTGCTGATATCTGGGGATCAAAGGAGGATCTTTCACTCAGATGTCCATACCCTCTGACTACATGTAAGATATGGCTCTAGGGCACACACAATCACCTCTCCACTATCAACTGAACTCCATTCTAGAAGCAGCCTTGAAACTGGTGACCAGCAAGTCCTTTTGCCACAGGGACGATTGTACAGACAGTTTTATTGGCCTACAAACACTCAACTCAAACGATAGTGGCTTCTTTGGCATTGCATGCAGGCATCCTACTACCAGAGTTTCATATTTGGGAGAGCAGTTCTTTCACTGATACTCCAATGATGATACAGATCCACCATCCAGGAATGGGGAAGCTTGCTAGTCACCCATGTATGTGATAAACAGAGACCACAAAGAAGAAAGGCAAGTTGCTTAACTGTAACAGTCAAAATATTGTTAATTCATTTTATATTTTTAATATATTATATTTTAATGTTTTGTGAGCCGCCCCGAGGCTTCGGCGAATGGGGCGGCATAGAAATTTTCTAAATAAATAAATGAATGAATGGCAAGTTGCTTAACTGTAACAGTCATTCTTCGAGTGGTCATCTGTACATTCACACAACTCATCCATCTAGCCCACTGGGTGTTGTGACTTAGCTGTGTTTATAGGTATTTTGTTTTTTTCTTTCTACTGTACTGCTCATTAAATGCAGGTTTGGTACTACCAATCCTCAGTCCCAAGACAAACCAGATAGTCTTCTTTGGAACTCAGGGAATGGTGGGAGCTCCTCCCTTTTATATGGATGCCAGAGAGGGAAGGGGCTCCCACCAAAATGCTCCTAGCTATTGAGTCTTTCTGGCAACAGGCTGCATACTGGCACAGAGCCCATATGTGGGAATACACAGATGACTGCTCAAAGAATGACAGTTACAGGTAAACCTGCCTATCCAAATTGAATGATAAAACTGAGTTCCCTGTTCTCTGTGCTTCCATACATTGTCAGTATTAGAAATCCTTTCCCGTTCAGGCACTTAAGTAATTTAACCTGACTATGTTTGCATCAGCCCTGGCAATTGGTACATAAGATATCATGCTAGATATGTACTGTATTTACTGAAATATCCTCCATAAGGATGAAAACAGAGCATCCAAGCAATGAAACTACTTATTGGACATCGTACATCTGTGTGCTAACCTGTGTTCCTTTTCCCCTCCCCTCTTTCAGTTCCTTGTCTCAATAACTTTGATGGGCATCCTGAGTTTAATGAGTGCTACGATAGATCCTCCACAGAGGCTACCGGATTTATTTCCGCTCACTGTCTCTGCTGTATCCTGCTTGCACTTTCTAGTCTTCTTGCTATATTTTAATGTCATTGCAATATGGGAATCAAGAGATAGCCAATATCAGAAAAAAACCAATTAGTTTGAAGTGCCAACTGTAAAATTAATGATGGAAAATGAAGGTGGGGGCTAGTAGGAACTGCAGTATTTTCAGTTCTATGTTTTAAATTGCTTATAATTGCTTTTCCCCAGAAAATACACAAATTTTTTTAAAAAAACAGACAAAAATATTTACATGTCAGTTTGTGTTGTGTCAGGAGAGTGAATAGCCATAACTGAAGGTGCTTGAAATGTTCCTTGTGTCCAGAGGAAAAAAAAGAGAAAGGAAATCACAATGCTTGATTATTTGTTCAAAATGGAAAGGCTATTTATACCCTGAGAACAATAAACATCTTGGCAACTTGTACCAGCTTATTTTAAATGAATAAAATCTCTATATTAATTCTGTCATACAAGTGTATCAGTCTAATGCACTTCCAAAAATGAAATGTGTGGGGAGATACAGAATTATGTTACAGCAGTCTTTCATGCCTGTTCCTACTAAATGCTGTCTTATAGTCTATTTGATTACATACATTAACTTGCCTTGTACAATATTTCACTATCCCCTATATGATATGCTTAATATCCTCAAGGCCACTGCACCAATATTCATGGCTCGGTGCCATGCTTCTTGCTTACATGACAGTCTTATTTCAGCATTAACCTCTATACTACCTGAAGTCCGTAACAAGAGTTCTAAGGTTCAACAGTTGTGAACGTTTTTCACACACACACACACACACGCATGCGCCTTACATTGATAGAGATCTGTATGCTTTATAGGCAAAATAATGTTATCAGTCTTTGTATAAATTTGCATATACTTTTATTCTAATTCAGCACTCACAGTAAGAATGTAGCAACAGCAAATCACCAAAAGGAACTCAAACCTTACTGTAAAACCAATGTTTTGTGGCAAACTATTTTAATGGCTTTGACATTTCAAGGTGCCTCCAATTCCAGTATAAGGGTTTTTTTTTTTTTTCATTTTTAAATGAAGGTATTACAAATTAACTGATACATTTGGCTTTTAAATTTTTGGTATTTGATGGTTATTTTCACATCTGTGTGTTCCTAAAGGTTGCAATTACTTTAAAAAAATTATTCACTTCTATACCAACCATACATACCTTGGCTTGGATCCAAACATAGTCATACATAGAGCAGATTCACTGATATCAATGGGATATAAGTTAGTCATGTTTTATGTCCCATTGATTTCAGTGAGTCTGCTTTTAGTTAATTTAGAATTGCACCCATGATGTATTCTGGCAAGCTGCTTATGGAAAAATGGAAGCATACATGTATAATTCTTAAAGACACGAATAACTTATTGTTTCTAGCCAAAGATCCATGTTTAATATACTTCAACTTTCATTCTATAGTCATTTTAAATACAGTATTCAACTACTCTAAGATTTGGGCTATGACTGAGTCATTGCAGTATTTTTGAGGCCTATTAAATGTAATACATCAATTAACACTTTCTTTGTCTTGCCACTTCTACAGAGATTTATTATTTTCTGCCATTCCAAAAATAAGCATACAGCCATAAGATAAATGGTATGCATTTTTAAAAAATGGCCACGCAAGTGGTATAGATTTAGTTTGCAAGTACATGGTTTGCTTTGCTGCTATACAAAATGCAGATCAATCTGAATCTAGGTCTTGGTAAAGTCTAAGCTGGCTATACAGAAGATCTAATAATCTGTATGCATGCTGTTATAAGGTATTTTCTGAATAGATCCTAATGTCCTTCCTCTCTAGTCTGAGCACCATTCCAAATACTGTTTAGCTGAATAAAAGCAGCCAAGGTGGACAATAATATACATTAGACAAATTATATTAAATCATTGTGCTTGGATATGCAAACTGTGGAATATGAATTTGCCACAAACCAAGGGTTCTTTATTTCTTCCATCAAAATGAAAAAACAAAAACCCAAAACCTGTTACCCCTGTGAAGATGGAATTGGCCAAGAAACCTTCTAAGCCTTCAATAATACCAGTCTGTATACATTATCATTTCCTTAAAAAATATATTTTCAACCTGTGCATGAGACTGCCAAAAATGAAATGTGCCAAAGGAAGCTTCTTTCTATATATCCTCTGTGCATATAAAAGTTTCAGCTACTGGGTGTTTCCCAGTATTGGATCAGTGATGATGCACACCATAGTTCCCACTGCTGACTTTAATTGTGCTATCACCTCTTTACTGGATATGGCTTGAATCCAGCTTAACTTCCCTCACTGTGGACTATCTGTTGGATGGTTAGTTGTTGCTCACAGATGTGTGCAATTCTCTCCAAATAGCCTTTGGATTTATTTCTGGTTAGATAGTTTCTATTGAATATGCAATATTGGAGCACATAATTAAAGCTTGATCCTAAGCAATGGGCTGGATCCAGAGATGTCTTGCATGAAATAGGCATTCCACTTATGCAAGTATATATAATTTCCACTGCTTTCCCCTTTTACCAGCAGCCTGCCATGCCATTTCCCATAGTACTGATCCTCAGTATTTGCTTGGGGTGGTAGTTGGTACTGCACAGAGGAACAGCAATGTAATTTCCATTATGTGATAGTCTCTTTGGATTTAACCCAGTGTGCAGTATTCAAAAGGCGCTTGTGCTGCCACTGATTCTGTTGCACAAATGACAGATCCTGCCAACTGCGTTGCCCAAATGGGGCCCACTCCTTATACAACAGAGATTTAGTGGGAAAGCGTTCTAGGGAAAGCTTCCAAATGGCTAGAAATGCTTATTTCTGGAAGGAGGCAGGTTGCCAGAATTACTTGCCACTGAACTACATCTTTCTAGAAACAAATGTTTCTACTTGATTTGGGTTGCCCAAGAAGTTCAATTCACTTCTGTGCAACACAGTGAGAGGGTGGAATAGAATAGGGGTTAGATTCACCCTGTCAGATTCTGCCAAAAGTATTTTATTAAAGACTTCAAAAAAATTGTGTGTGTGTGTGTGGGGGGGGGACGACAATAGTCATTGTTAACCAGGCTTTCAACTTCCACCTTCTAGAAACCCACTTTTGAAAGGCCTCTTTACACAGCATTTGCATATTAACTTATTGGACAGTACCAAGTTTGACTCTTGCCCTTCCATCAGATCCTCCTCCTGAGAGACATAGCTGTTACAATCACTGAAGCAAGTCAGGATAAGGAAAGGTATTAGCCTAACTCAACTCACTTCACTCAGGGATATTTCCACAAAAAGGAAGAAGTGGTTACTTTAAGCTTAATCCTAAGCTTAGAATAGACACTCACTGAACATAACTGCCATTCTGTCCAAGAACAGTTTGGTAAATTCTTTCTAAGAAGCTGAGGCACTGCAAGAATGTTTAAGGAAGGAAAGAGTGTGAAACAGTCACTCTTGCTGACAGGGCAATGGTCTCATATTTCCATTAGCCTTTTCCCCCTTCTTGTCATCAGAAGACCACAGCAAATGTTCCCCAGCATATAAAAACATTAGTTTTATGTGTATCTCTTTTCTTTGTCCTTCAGATGGCCTTCAAGGGTGATAAAGTGAGAGTTATCTGATCTACCTTATGCAGAACCAGGAAATGGTTCTTAACAGACACAGCTGTTTTTGAAACAAGAAAAAGCTTAGTACAAGTGGTGAAAAAGCAATAGCTGCTTTAATAGCCTTAGGCTGCAATCCCATGCAAACCTGCAAGGGAGCAAGTCTTACTGGTAAATAAACATGCTCAGGATTGATCAGTGATGCATGGAAACAATTGAAGAAAGTGTTCTATCTTAATATTTAATTGTATTACCTACAGTTAAATAATACCACTGAAGTCCTTGTAATTACATCAGAGTAGTAATTACCTCCTAAGAAAAACAACTTATGCCAAAAGGCTTTTTCTATTGCAAGTGCCTATAACAATTATCCTGAAGTAGTTAGCATGCACTGTACTGAACCTCACTTCTGTATTACTATGTTCTGAACTGAAGTCTTTCGTCACTGAAATGCCAAAGTGAAAAATGAACCTGTTTAATAAACTGCTAATAATTATATCAATGTTTTATTGTATACAACAGCAGTTATCACCCTCAGGAATGATGTTTCAGGAAACACCTCTCAGGCAGTAGTGCAAATGAGAAGCCAGAAAAAAAAAAAAAAAACAGCATGTAGTATAGCTACAGTCACAATTCTTCAGATCCAAATCATCATAAAGAACAGCATATATACAGAAAAGAACAGTAAATGCATAGGCAATTCGTCATTCTGCTTATAAACCATTCAGCAAGATTTTCTAGAGGATGAACGCTTTCACAAAAGGTTAAAAATACCTTCACTACCATATCATCTATTTAAAATTATCAAAATAAAATGTATTAAAATGTAGTCAATATATACTACCTAAAGGTTCAAGATATTTAACGTTTATTTAGGCTGAAATATGAGATCATCTGTACATCTCAATACATAAAATTTCAAGGAAACCTATCCCTGCAAATACTATTGCACATAAATATTAATTTTTATAGGATTATGCTAAGCAATTTTACATATTTATGTTTAGGCATCACAAAACAGAGAATGTTCAATGTTTCCTTAGCACAGAAACATGTGCTTCTGTGGTGATTTTTGGAAAATCACAGTAACTTGGAAAGGTATTTTCAAATGCTACATTCAAATTCTTTGCCAACAAATAGATGGCTATCTATACAAAGAATAGATGGCAAACTTGCTTGCTTTTGGGTGTGCTGATAAATTGCATAAACAATGTGCTCCAAGTTGGCAAGCAGTCTTCATTGTTTGTGGTAAAACTGGCACTCCTTCAGAGAAAGCATGGAGCATATCATTACTGTGAAATTTACAGTTTGTTTGAAGGCCTGGGAAATAGTGTTCACCCCTAAGTGCAGCCCTTCTTCCCAAACATTAAGAAAAACTCACTGAGGCATTTTACCAAGGTAGGCAAATAGTGTCATAACTATATACAAGTAGTTCAGATATTACATATTTGCATAAAGGAAATTTGGCAAACTGTATTATTTACATTGAGAATATCTGGTTGTACAGATTGTAAAGTTTAAATTAGATGCAAGAAACTGTATCTAGATGTGCACCTGCCTAGTGCTCTAAGCAATCCTGAGCTGGTATTTGCTGGGGAGATAGACTTACAAGCGATTCTTTTCAGTCTTTTAAGTAGGATCAGGCAGTTGCAGAATCTTGCAACCAAGCTGTATATATTCTTCAGATAAGGCCTGTGAAGGTGAAAAATGATTTAAAGAATCATGGAATTATGCAACAATGTTAACATTTGAATGCATTTTTACAGCTAAACACACATTCAGCTCTGGCTTTACTGTATAGACACAACAGAAAAAAATGCTTCCTTTAAAGTGTGACAATGTAGAATAGAGTTGTTTCCCAATGTTATTATAGTTCACAATTTAACAGAGTAAAGGTCACATGTCGGCTTAATATTTTCATGAAGGCAACACATGTTTAATCAAACACAAAATAATTTCTATTCAGGAATATCAGGCAAATTACTACTAAGAAAGCTAAAGTAGTAATTAGAAGTAGCAATCAGAAAGCTTATAGTAGTAATTAGAAAGCTTCGGCCTTGGAAGGATTTGTAGTCTGAAAAGTAAATTATAGATTACTACTTAATGCATTCCGTTACAACTTGGGTTTGTGTAAGTGCTATAATTACCTTTCAGCAAACTCCCCTTTCTTTTCATGACTTGGAATAAATGGAGATGATTTTTCTTCCAATGAAAGGAAAGTAGAGGGAGGTATGACAGTAATAAACTTTGAATACAGAATTGACTGTTTAACCATTTGTGAGACAGAATTGTTTGGTAAGCAGTCATTTATCAATTAATTGTGCCAGATCATGTTGGCTAAAAGCTTTTGCATGCATTGGTAAAACAAGACAAGGAAACACAGTTCTCAGAGAATTTTGGTTCTTATCAGCTGTGTCTTGAGCCAGTTTGCTTTTCCTGGCATGACCATTGTACACTGCTGGAACCATCAGCATCAAAAGAAAATATGACTTCAGACAGACCCAATTGATGTGTATGTAGTTCAGAAGGGCAGGAGAAATTCTAGAAAGAAGCACAACTTTTAGATGCTTGTGAGAGATGCTGTAGCTGTGTCTGCAATGCCTAGAGTTCCCTTGATGTATTTTACACCATGCGGATTGGCAAAAAGTATTCTACGTACTACCATCCACATTCTTGCCTCTCACTAGAGGCATAGTGCCCACACTGGGGGAGCCAACAGGAGTGCATCAACCAGTGTGCCAGTTACAAGCATTCTCATTAACTAAATTACTTTCACCAGGTGCAGATTATCATGATATGTCAATCAGGTAGGTAATGGTGGTCAGAGTAGTTTACAACCTGCCCTGAAACCCATGGCTTTTTCTAGAGTTGCTGGACAATTTGTACACCACACCAGCCACTCAGCCTTGCTACGCGTGGACAACCTGCACCCACCATGCTCATAAGATGGCTCATGAACAGCATGTGAAGGGAAGGAAAAACACCACTGTGGCTCATCTTCCTTTTATGATTTTGCAAACTCAGTCGTGCACATCTATAAAGGCAAAGGCCTTTAGAAGCATGGGGTACTAGCCTCAAAATAGAGACTAAATGATCCATATGATGTTGTTATCAAAAGCTATGACAACTGCAAAGTGTCAGCTTGGTAAAGATCTGCTAGAGTCTGTTAACTCAGGAAGGAAAACCATACATTTTGATGGAACTGTCACTTGGCAAAAATTGTAAAGGTTTGCTTGGGATACATGGCTTAAAAATCCGAGATACTCAGTGAAATTAATGTTTGCCTGCAGGGCAAGAACTGTGATACCTTCATTATACTTCAGAAAGTACAGAGTTGCAATAAAAGTTATGCAATGGAGTAGCTCTATGGCTTTACTATGTTTTTTTTGGGTGCTTGTGTGCCAGATTCATGCTTACCTTAAGGCATACAGAGCCTTCATGTAGTGGGGAAATGAGATCATTTTATTCCTACAGCTCATCCTCCATGAGAGCCTACGAGAGTATAGTTCTATATAAGTAGGCCCAATCCTAGGAGTATGGTAGGAAATCACACAAACCAGGCCTACACACACTGGAACAGCCCATAAATACTATTTCATCTCATCTAACAGATGTGAGATGAATTTTGGAAGAAGATATAGTACTGATCTCACACAGAGCAGTCTATCCAATTAAGTATGAAAGGGGATTTGTGAATACCACTACTCAGGCTGCAATCCTCCTCCCACTTATTTAGGCCCAAATCCTATTTAATGCAATGTGAAGTATTTCCTGTAGATAAACATAAGATTTTGCAGCTAGTGAAAAATGAAATACACATTTCAACTAACAATACAGCTAATATATTCCGAAAATAGCAAATGACATAGTTTTATGTCATCAAAAGACAAAAAATCTCTGGCATAGTACAATCTGATAAAAACTAAAAGTAATCCTTTTTTGAAATTATACATCTTAAATTCTCAAATTGGAATTCTCTGAGTTGGCAAAGAGAAAATTGAAGTACATATGGACTTTACTCTGATACATGTCCAAAAAGAAGAGAATGCGCTTTATGTGATAAACATTCTAACAAATACTTGCATGCATAGATGAAAAACAGAAACAAAAATCTTTCAGAGACGGTTGTTTTATGTGAAAAATTCAAGTGTAGAATTCCAAAATACAAATTTACCTACTGATAAAGCCACACCTTTCATAAAACTTTATGTCTGAACCAGCTCAACACAACTATGGAGGTTGAAGAGCCACCAGTTGGCAGAGATAATTATGATAATTCTGAATTGTGCATCTATTTACAATATTGTGCCACTTGTATTCAACAAACACCAGTGCAGATAGTTATTTTTTTCATTATTAAACAATTAACCCTACAAGCCTGACATAACTTCAAATGGTTTGGAAGCCGCCCTGAGCCTTATGCGAATAGGGTGGCATATAAGTTCTCCAAATAAAATAAATAAATATACATATTTTGCTGTACATAAAAAGTAATATATAGTACTGGCTTCATATTGATCTGTTAAAACATGAAGGCCTCCTCACCTTAGTCAATGAGCGATTTAAGGAATTCAAAGGTACTGACAGACTGGCGATAATCTGTAGAACAAGAACAATGTTCATATTTTTTCACTTTATCAACAAATTAGAATTCTACCCTGTGGTTTATACCTTTGATATAAAACACTATGATATGCAAAGCATGAGGTATTAGTTACACTCTAACATACATCTGGATACAGTACTTTAAGTGGCATGTGGTTTTTATGTAGAGCTTAAATTGCTTTTAAACAAAAACACAAGAAAAATATTCTACCACGTTAACTTATTTACCCATAGTGGACAGATTGGACACTTTTGTTTTAGTGCTATTAGTGCTCCAAGTACTCAATTAAAATTTGTATTTTAACTTTGGCTAAAAATTGAAATAAAGAAAGTCCACAAGTCTATCCACTTAGTAGCCATCGTTTTAATGCTTCTTAAAGCTGCGAGTTACAATATGGGGTGTATACATCTCCCTACTCTGTGGGTTTCTTGCAACTGTATGTTGCCTTTTCTTCAGGGATCATTTAGTACCAGAAAAAAGTAGCTGGAGTAAAGATACCAACAATCTATTAGATCATATAGAGGTATTCACAGGTGATCTAGCATTTGAAGTTCTTACAAATTCTGGTCACTTCACAGTTTCAGAGTTAAACTGGAATCAACTTCTACCCAAGTCATCATAAATTGCCCAAGCCTTTTGTTGACCCTCACAGAGGCCAATAGCCCTGCAAGCAGGAGAGAATGTTACCACCATCTTTTCTTCAGAAAAGTTTTAAAAACACTGTTTCTATAAATCCTTCTTCCTTTGTCTTTACTCCAAGTGTGTCATGTCTTAAATTTAGATGGGACACCTGAAGGCTGGGACTGTCAAGCTTCCTATTCCTGTAACCCATTCTGGAAAACTTTTTGGCTAAATGGCGGAGTATAAAGGAGACAAACAAGCAAGCAAGCAAGCAAGCAGATGTTCTGTTGTGTAAAATGGAGAATTTCAAGAGCACAAGAAGTCATGATCTATCCAGAAGTCCAATCTTTCTTGTGCATCCGTATGCAAGTTTGAATGCTTTAAACCATGTACAGCTCTAAACTGGAGACGAAAAACTGGCCACCTGCCTGGTGATATAAACTCAATCTTCTCTTAAATGTGCCAGAATAATTTTTCTCCACCTCAACCAGAGTTAAAACCTTTCGCCTATTCATTACTGTCCTGTTATAGTATTTTTATTTAATAAAACCTATTAAGACTACCATACAAATCTCTTTACTTATGCTTTTATCTTTTAACTGATCAATTTTTATATTGCTGACATCCCCTCTTCACCATTTGCTCATTTAAAAATTCATAGTACATGAGCTATGTCTCTGGAGAAAATGTCTATAAAATTTGTTACAGCTGGCAAATGTGTATGAGTCAGTGATAGCACATGACTAAATGCTTCACAGAAAATAAAACTTGTTTCTGTAGTAAGCAGAACTGTTTAAATGTTATTTATTTTTATGTTTCAAAGAAAATATATTGTGAAGTGTTGCATTGATTTAATACGCAACAGTGTCTGTGTACACGCAGTACAAGGAAAATTTATGAAACCTTTGCACAACTCCTTTAATTGAATTTTCCAAATCTCTCACCACACACAAATAATCAATATCTTCTGCAGAGAAAACCAGTCAGAATTATTACAGTCTTTCTTTTCAATTTTGTTGTCATCAGCACATACAGAGTACCTGGATATTTGTAATGTCAGGATAGCAAAGTTATCTATGACTCTTAAAATGTAATTGCTATTAAGTGAGCCCAGACCAATGTCCCATTACTTTTAAAAAATTATTTAAAATAGCTATGTCTCAAAGAAGAAATGGGTCTTTTGTAGTATTTGTAATTATGCAAGTGACTATACATAGCATACATACAATTAATAGCTCATGTTTTCATTTTACTTGATATTCAAATCTGTGTGTTATTATAAAGCATATTGTGAGAAGACCTACAAAAAACTAGAGTGTTAAATATGTATCAAAGTTCATACTATCTAATACTGGTAGGTTCTCATATAAGAGATGCGGTTTAATGGGTTAGTGTGTGTTTGTGTATATATGGCTGGTTGTGTATTTGTCTGAGCCTAACAGCCATATGTCTCACATGCATTTGTATGTCTGCCACCAAAGTTAATAGCTTAATATTTCATCTACATAGTATAGGATATTAAATCATCTCAGAAGTTTGTGGTTTGCCTCCCAAAATCTATCATAACTGTAGCCTCAGCCTGCAATGCTTTGAGCACTGAAGGCTGTATTTTAAAATTCACACCCTAATTATGACTGTGCCATGTATTAAGACAAGTGTCCTTTGGGAAAGAAAGTGCTCTTTCATATAATGAAAAAAAGATCGAATTATGCAGTATTTATAGGTGAAAAGAATAACTGCATAGCAACCATTTTTCTTCCTATTACTACAAAGGCTAAAGTCTCACTTGAAGAAAAACACACACACAACCCAATACAGCCAAAACTTTGTCTCTCACAAAATCATCATGATGGTTGCACTGAGAAGCTATAGCCCTAAGCTATGTGAGGGAATATACTTATCTGTTCCATTGAGCACAAGCATAATAAAACTGACTATATGTATAGAATTGTATAGCAAACGTATGTGTGTGTGTGTGTGTGTGTGGGGGGGGGGGGGGGGAGGATTACCTATGGTGAGGATCAAGCTACAAAAACACTAAATCTCCAAAATGAATGGATGGAAGCTCCTTTCAAATATAAACAAATATAAAACAAATATAAATTTTGCATATGGTCAGGTTGAATTTGTAAACATATAAAAAACTGATGGGCAGCTTAACATTCATATCAGCTAAAAATGTCAAGATAATTACACAAAACAAACAATCCTGCCCCCATCTCTCCTGTTGGTGGCATTAATGTAATACTTTACCATGTCTGTCTTAGGCAGTGATTTAGTTTATGCTCAGAAAGAGGGCACACCCTGAAAAATTAACAACATCATGTAAGCATCATTCATGCCAACAAAATGTTCAGCTCTAACAAGAGAATGCCCCAGTTAGTAGACTCACAAGGTAAACAAGGGTCATCTTGTGTTCACTGTTTTATATAACAATTCAAAATGTACTTGGAAACAACTCAGTGTTACGATCCACTGTTCTGTATTCTCATCACCAATATTTATTTAACTTCTATACCACCCATAACTGAAGGTCTCTGGGCAGTTTACAACAATCCATTAAAATACAATCTAAAATGCACCAGATTATACAAAACATGGGGGGAGGGGGGGGAGAAAAAGCTGCCATACATTTTTTAAAAATTTCTATTATTACATTAAATTTCTGTACTTCCCATAGTCAACGCTCTCTGGGAAGGTCCCTACATTTAACACACTCATCCAGATTTCAAACAGGCCTGACCCTGCTTAGCTTAGAAAGGCAAAACTGCTTCCTTTATGTTATGATATGATGGCTCTGATGAAGGAGGAGCTCAGCCCACGTCTGGTATAAATGTGCTACACAAAGGCATATAATAATGCTTGATAGGGTGTCAGTGACAAACCATTGAACATCTCTAAGTTGCTCTATGATCCAGGTTACATTATTCTGTGCCCCTCTTTTTCCTTTCCTTTTTTTAATGGAGCAAAAGTTCCAAATGGAAAATGGAACAGGCTACTTCAACTGTATAGGCATGTGCCATTGTTTACATTGCTGCCGCTGTAGAGTATATCTAGAACTGCCAAGTTGCATGCATAAATGTTGGAGCAACCCTTCTGCATGTAAAAGCATCACCAGGTAGTGTTGGGACAGACTTCTGACAAACCCGAGACCCAGGGCCAGTAAAAAACACAAGCTAGATGGACCAGTAGCTTGACTCTTATCAGGCAACTTTCTCTGTTTTCCACAAGAATGCCCCAAGGAGTATCAACCAAAAGCCTATATGACTAAGGGATTCATTAGTACAAAACACTGCTTAAATATCAAACCAAAATGATATCTGCCTCTTTACACACTGCTTAAGACAGAAAAATATCCCTGTCTTCTTTCTCTCCTGAATTCTGCAAGCAAGATGCTGCATGGCTGCAGCAGGCTGAGCAGAAGAGGCCAAATAGTGCTGTTAGGCTAGCCTCACCTTGCTGATTTGAGACTAACACCTTTTCAAGACAGGAAACTGGACTAGAAGGCCTGGCTCAAAGAGACTGTATGTGCAACAAAACAGAGGGGCAGCAGTTTGTTTTTGTGCCTGCAAATCATTATTGCTTTGTCTTCCTTGCCACAAACACATTTTTAAACAGTTACTTTAATCCTAGCTGATTAGGGAATAGCCTAGTGAGTTAAAAGATCTAGACACAAGACAAGAACCCCTACCTCACTTCCCAAGTATTCAAATATTGCTGAAGAGTCAGCAGGATGAAGGCTTATTTTGTTTTTTATTGCCTCCTCCAAAATGCTAGAACTGTTCAGTTCCCTTCTGAAATATGCAAAGGACAACCTATACATACATAAAGCATGCTTTGGACAGCAGCAGCATGACTGGATTTCATCTCCTGGCAGCTGCTCCCGAGTTTGCTTACATTCTCTTCAAAAAACATTTTGTTTACTGTAAATGCTAGTCATGGGCAAACAATGGTGCTCTTTTTTATGCTGCTAATGCAAAATGATATACTGAGATCTACATAATGCCATCCATTGAGGAAGGAATGTTCTGAATTAAGTTGTTTTAAGCAGAGGCTGTTTATGTAAAGTAAATAAATTTCATGCCTCACCATGTGATGATAATGTGACATTCCATCTGTATCAAGCCAAAGAATAGTCATAGGTTTTATGTCCTCAGTGTAACTAATTAAAAATAATTATGAAAAGCCACATCCAAAACTAAAAAGCAAAATAAAAGAATGTGTTCTTTCTCCAGTCCCTCCTTCCCCTTTATGTCATTACTTCTGACACTCCCTTTCTTACTAGGACAGCAAAACAGATCTATGTCCTCATTATAGCAGTGCTTATTTTATTAAACTATAAACTATAACTGTATCATTCTTAGCCACTTCATACTCAACTTCATACCTTAATTTCTGACTGACTTTTTAGTTGCCAGTGTCTTTAGCATTTAAAACATTGAAGAGTTGATCATGATGCAGCGGTCAAGAGGTCGAACGCCAGCCTTGGCTGCACAGTCAGAAGCATGGCTCTAGATTGAGAGACATATTACTGCCATTCTATATGACTCTGTTGCACTGGAGTTCTGTGCTCAGTTCTGGGCTTTCTATTGCAGGAAGATATAGCCAGGTTAGAATCAGTGCAGCATAGGGCCACCAGGATGGTGGCCAGATTGCAGGGAAAGCTGTATGAGGCGAGACTGAGGGAACTGGGTCTTTTCAGCCTGGAGAACAGGAGACTCCAAGGAGATCTGTTGGCAACATATAGGTATGTGAAGGGGTGTCACACAGAGGTGGGTAGAGACCTATTTTCCCATATGGAGGACAGGGCACATTCCAATGGAGCAAAGCTCAGGGAACCAAGGTTCAGTTTGGATGCCAGAAAGTACTTTCTGACAGTTAGGACTCCTAGGGTAAGAAATGGGCTTCCATGGGAGGTGGCTGAGGCCCCATCGGTGAGAGTGTTTAAAGATAGGCTGGACATGCACATGGTAGGCATGCCATGAGTGGAACCAGCTGAAGCCAGGGGTCAGCCTAGATGGTCCAGGATATCCCTTCTGACTTGCTCTGATTATATGTTTCTGTGATCCCACAAAGTTAACTGAACTATTGTTTTGGGGCACAAACAAGTCTAGATTTTGTTTCAGACTAACAACAGAGGTCCTATTCCAAAATAAGCCTTGGTATACCATGGTGTTGGTTCTCTGATAGCTTCATCAGCTAAGATGATGGTGATGATGACAACAACAATGGCAACATTGCATTTATACCCTCCCCGTTATACCTTCCTCTTGTGAAGAACCCAAGGTGAGCCAATTTCAAAACTAAAGAATTATGACAAGCGAAAATTCTCAACTTTCAACTCAAGCTATTCTGTCCTTATTCTCCATGGGGCCTGAGGAATGAATCCAATTTCACCAATTTTCTAAAGTTGTAGCTGCGAAGATATTTATATGTTACTAAGATGAGATTACCCAGCTTGATTGTGGTCCGATATATTCTAGCGGTTTGTTTCTCTTTGCAGCTATGCTACAAGACAGTTTGTGTTTATTCTGATGTCTTCCAATGATCAAATAGTTCTTTACTGGGATGGGAAGGGGAAGGAGAGCAGCAGGCAGAGGCTCAGTTTACATGTCAATCCATGCCTCACTTTTTGCCTGCTTCTCTCTCCTCTCTTCCTTTCCTGTCTGGGCTCCAATTCCCTACCTCACCCTTGGTCTGAGTAAAGCATACTTTAACTCCAAACTAGAAATAAATATCACAAAGCAGACTG